GCAACAAAAACAAACGCCAACATACATAGAAACGAACTATTTGATAACAACTGCCATATTTCTGACTTGGTACAGGACATTTTTAGAAAAAAATGGTCTGACGATTTCCTCTATTTGACTTAATTGTAGTTCTTTTTTTTTTTGCTGATATTTTTGCTAATTTAAGTTTCTACCTATCTATTATAATTTTTATGATATAAAGCAAAAACGCAAATAAAATGATAAAAAAAAGATTTTTGTAAGTCAACGGACGACGACGACGGACGACAAGTGATGAGAAAACTCATGTGGCCCTTTGGGCCTGGTGAGCTAAAAATAAATGGTGTGAGACAGAGGCTGACATGTATATGTCAATACTTCAGTATAATACAAGAGAAGAAATCTGTAGAATTTGTTTGTTATATAGATATCCTAAGAAGGGTCTTTGAAGCACACTCATCGCGTATAATTAGAATGTAACAGAGCAACTGAAATAAGAATAATTGCGATTACTGACAGCACAAACCCAGTTGATGAATAAACTTGGTTTCTTAAAAAAAAATACAGTTGCACCATATCTACAGAATTTATGTGTATTGTTTTCCACATGAATGTGCTCTTTACAGAGTAATGTCCAGCGCGTAGCTGCCTTTACGCAAAAAATAATTTGCTTGCACATTATTTTCACAAAAAAAAATATTCTGAAATTGAATTACGAATGAGTAGTAAGACAGGTCAACCGGGCTAACTATCCAGCTGACACTCCAAGTCAGTATTGGAAGCGAGCCTTGTATTTCTCCTTTCTTGACTATTTCATTGAAGAACTCACAGGACGTTTACTGGATACTTCTGAACCTTAATTTATACCTGCATGTTTGGAATCTTTGACAGCAGAGTGTATAGACAAACTATACGAAACATTTAGACACGACTTGACGGACAATCAAGGAACATTCAACTCTGAGGTAAAGAGATGGCAGAGACGCTGGTCGGGTCTAGATGTTATAGAGAATCTCTGATGTCGTCTCTAGCAGTGACTAATAAGGAACTATATCCTTCAATATTTGCAATCGTGTCAATTCTATAGTTACAATGCCAGTAACTTCATCAACTACTGAATGGTCATTTAGTGCATTACGGCGACTAAAAACTTATCTCCGTTCAACCATGGTACAGGACAGACTATCTTCGTTGGCGTTCATATATGTTCACAGAGAAATGAATATCGACACCGAGAGAGCTCTGCAATCATTTGCCTTGGCAAAAAATAGATGTATGGACTTTGGATATTTACTATACTATAAGTCTTACATGCAGTATTAACATTTAATAATACAGGTTCAATACATGCAATAACCTTGAAAACATCTTAGATTTATATCCCTCACTTAAAAGTCGCCGTTTGATTTCGTATTTTCATTGTCCGTTCGTCTAAAAGACTATTAATTCACCTTGGGTATCTGTGTCCCAAGTGACCTTCTACCGTTGTCGTAGAAACCCCTCCCTCGATTCGAAAATGACCGTAGTGAGAAACGCTACGGTCGGGTGTCTTGCAAGAAGCAGGACTCCTGCTCACCCTTCCGGAACACTGGAGGTCGCCACATTTTTTTTCAGGGTTCGTGTTTTTTATCTGTATTTAGTTTTCAATATTGAATGTTTTTGTTTGTTCTTTTGTGTCTTATCTGTTCCCGGGTTGGCCATGTGTCCATTGATTGCACTTCTATTGATAAACGCCTCGGTGGACTTGTCGACTGATCTTCCCGTTTTATAAAATTTATTTTATATTTGAAAACAACCATGTTAATAAGGAGTAATGTGAATTTCTTAAGCATGGCATACCTGGAAAATGACCGAAAAATGATAATTTTCTGCATAAAAAGGTCCCAAAAATTACAAGTCTTATGCTTGCACTTTATTTTAGGCCAGCTACGCCCCTGATGTCCTTAATATTTGTTACCAACGTCTATGTTGTTGTCTGGTGGCGAATTGTCCCATATTGTCAATCATACCACATCTTCTTATTTTCATATAACATTTTCCTCTACTATTGTAGGCAGAGCATTAATTAAATGTTTTAAGCCATTGTTGCTTCTGGATTTGAATACCTAAATCAAGCATTTTGGGATCAAAAGAGCATGTGTCGCTCACCTGTGTCTTCAACTATGGCAACTTTTAAGTAAAAATCATCATTAAATGGGATCAACTATAATAAGAAGTCGATTGAAGATTTCGGCCGTGTAGACTTATTTGTAGACCCTGTTGTGCTGATCATTTTTGTATTCTAGAGATTCTATCTATCATTTATAGTTTTTTTAAATATTAGGCAGTAACGCAAAAAAACTCTAAAAAGGAGTTGTCCCACCATTTTGGTCATGTTGACTTATTTGTGATTCTTGTCTTGGTTATCATTTTTGTTTTTTAAAGTTTCTGTCTATCTTTTATAATTTTCAAAATAACAGGCAAAATATTTTTTTAAAATGGTAAAATTCGTCATTTGAAGCCATAGCTCCTTTAAGAAGTCGTTCGACAGTTTCTACACAAATACACAATAGCTATATAGGTAGAGCTCAACATTCTGGACATTTTTGCCTGGATTTTCTCTTATAGCAGTTTTTGAAATTAATAGACATTTTACCCTATGTTCTATTTTTACCAATGTCTGCCATCTTGGTTGGCAGGCGGGGTCATCAGACACATTCTTCAAACGAGATACCCCAATGATGATTGTGGCCAAGTTTGGTTAAATTTGGCCCAGTAGTTTCAGACGAGTAATATGGTAAAAGTTAACAGACGATGACGACAGAAGAAGACGACAAATTTCAAGTGATGAGAAAAGCTGTGGGCCAGGCGAGCTAAAAATGAGAATCAGTTGAAGGTCCTCAAATTATCAATCCTTAATGTTTCAAAACATTCAGCCTTGCAGCTTCAGAAATTTCAATTAAATTGGTCAATCAGAATCGCCATGATTTGTTAAGGAACTTCAATATATCATTCCAACAAAATTTGGTTAAAATTGGCCTGATGGATTCAGCCAAGAAGGGTTTGAATGGGAACTATGTGCCACTAATGCTGCCGTGTTTGCATTAATGAGAATCATTTGTAGAGTCTTCCTTTGTCAACCCACTAACATGTTTCAAAACATAGATCAATGCAGTTTTAGCATATAGATTTAAAATTGGAAACTCAGAATCAAAGATTGTCTTTGGTGGCCATATTTTTTCATCAGATAGTAAGGAAATGAGGAATTCTTATAAAGGACCTTCAATTTACTGGTATTATTCCTGCCAATTTTTATTTTTAAATTGGCACGGTTACTCCAATGGGGATAATGAAAATATAATTTGTATATAAACAGACAGACAAAGGATGGACACAAAGGGAAGAAAAAAGATCATATTGCCCTATGAGACAAGTAAAGTAACTAGAGGCTCTCAAGAGCCTGTGTCGCTCACCTGACTCTACTTTGGTTTTAGAAATCATGTAAAGATAGATAAAAATCATAACAGATACCCAAATAATGATTGAGGCCAACTTTTGATTAATATTGGTCCCGTTATTTAATAAAATATCCTGGTGGCCATCTTGAACAGTAAATCGGCAACAAAGTAGCAACACTTGGTCAGCACTTCATAAGGAACATTCATGCCATGTTTGGTTTCATTCCATTCAGTGGTACTCTAAAAGAAGACATATGTATGTATTTCCCTTAGGGTCCTATGTTAAACTAAGCCACACCCCCCCCCCCCCCCCCCCCCTAGCGGCCATCTTGGATGATGGATCGACTGCAAAGTAACAACACTTGGTCAGCAACTCATAAGGAACATTCATGCCATGTTTGGTTCAATTCCATTCAGTGGTTCTCTAAAAGAAGACAATTGTATGTATTTCCCATAGGGTCCTATGTTAAACTTAGTCCCCCGCTGTCGGCCATCTTGGATGATGGATCGGCTGCAAAGTAACAACACTTGGTCAACATCTCATAAGGAACATTCATCATGCCATGTTTGGTTCCATTCCATTTATTGGTTCTCTAAAAGAAGACATTTGTATGTATTTCCCAAAGGGTCCTATGTAAAACTAAGTCCCCCGCTGGCGGCCATCTTGGATGATGGATCGGCTACAAAGTAACAACACTTGGTCAGCACCTCATAAGGAACATTCATGCCATGTTTGGTTTCATTCCATTCAGTGGTTCTCTAAAAGAAGACATTTGTATGTATTTCCCATAGGGTCCTATGTTAAACTAAGTCCCCCACTGGCGGCCATCTTGGATGATGGACCGACTGCAAAGTAACAACACTTGGTCAGCATCTCATAATGAACATTCATGCCATGTTTGGTTCCATTCCATTCAGTGGTTCTCTAAAAGAAGACATTTTTATGTATTTCCCATAGGGTCCTATGTTAAACTAAGTCCCCCGCTGGCGGCCATCTTGGATGATGGATCGGCTACAAAGTAACAACACTTGGTCAGCACCTCATAAGGAACATTCATGCCATGTTTGGTTTCATTCCATTCAGTGGTTCTCTAAAAGAAGACATTTGTATGTATTTCCCATAGGGTCCTATGTTAAACTAAGTTCCCCGATGGCAGCCATCTTGGATGATTGATCGTCTACAATGTAACAACACATGGTCAGCACCTCATAAGGAACATTCATGCCATGTTTGGTTTAATTCCATTCAGTGGTTCTCTAAAAGAAGTCATTTGTATGCATTTCCCATAGGGTCCTATGTTAAACTAAGTCCCCCGCTGGCGGCCATCTTGGATGATGGATCGGCTACAAAGTAACAACACTTGGTCAGCACCTCATAAGGAACATTCATGCCATGTTTGGTTTCATTCCATTTATTGGTTCTCTAGAAGAAGTTCAAAATGTAAAAAGTTAACGCCGACGACGGACGCCAAGTGATGAGAAAAGCTCACTTGGCCCTTTGGGCCAAGTGAGCTAAAAAGGACCTGATGATAGTTGATGTGGTCCTCTGGACCAAATAAGTTTTAAAAAGACTACAACAATTGATTAGCATGAGATCATTTCATTTATTTCTATCAAAAATATTTCTTTCATCACCCTCATATAACAAACCACATATCTACACATAACTCTCTATTAAACAAACATATTAATATAATTAGGAGAAAGACCAAGATTTCCCAGTGTAGATTTAAAACATAGACACATTGGACTGTTCTTTCTAATATTAAAAAAACTGAATAAATCTTATATTAATCCTTATATTTTTCTATGAAGAAGGGTGATGAAAAGTGACTACACTCTCATTTACTATTAACAATAAATTACAGAAAAAACAAGCTAGCGCCATATCCTCTTTTCAAAGAAAAATTGTTGAACAATTGACAATTTATAGCATTTCTTGCATTAATACATGTATTTTATGTTTTGTTATTGATATAACAATATATGCTTCATTATCAGTTTTACAGATATACAATAATATTGCCTGTATATTAATTAATAAAATGCTTCGCTGGGGCGCAGCTTGATACGACCGCAGAGGTCGAACCCTGAACAGTTGGGGCAAGTATGGACACAACATTCAAGCTTGATACAGCTCTGAATTTGGATTGTTATTAAATATTTGACACAGCATAGGTTTCTGACACAGAAAGAATGTGGTCTAAGAACTTGAATTTTTTTAATTTACCTATTATGGTCCAATGTCCAAAATCAAAATACATGGTTAGATTCAGCATATCAAAGAACCCCATATATTCAATTTTTGTTAAAATCAAACAAAGTATAATTTTGGACCCCAACTTGGACAAACTTGAAAACTGGGCCCATAATCAAAAATCTAAACACATGATTAGATTCAGCATATCAAAGAACCCCAAGAATTCAATTTTTGCTAAAATCAAACTAAGTTTAATTTTGGACCCTTTGGACCTTAATGTAGACCAATTTAAAAAACGGGACTTAAAATTAAAAATCTAAATACACGGTTAGATTTGGAATATCAAAGAACCCCAATAATTCAATTTTTGATGAAATCAAACAAAGTTTAATTTTGGACCCTTTTGACCTCAATATGAACCAATTTGATAGCGGGGCCCACAAATAAAAAATCTAAATTCATGGTTAGATTCAGCATATCAAAGAACCCCATATATTCAATTTTTGTTGAAATCAAAAAAAGTTTAATTTTGGACCCCAACTTGGACCAACTTGAAAACTGGGCCCATAATCAAAAATCTAAACACATGTTTAGATTCAGCATATCAAAGAACCCCAAGAATTCAATTTTTGTTAAAATCAAACTTAGTTTAATTTTGGACCCTTTGGACCTCAAAGAAGACCAATTTAAAAAACGGGACCCAAATTAAAAATCTAAAAACACGGTTAGATTTGGCATATCAAAGAACCCCAATAATTCAATTTTCGATGAAATCAAACAAAGTTTAATTTTAGACCCTTTTGACCTCAATATGAACCAATTTGATAGCGGGGCCTACAAATAAAAAATCTAAATACATGGTTAGATTCAGCATATCAAAGAACCTCATATATTCAATTTTTGTTGAAATCAAACAAAGTTAAATTTTGGACCCCAATTTGGACCAACTTGAAAACTGGGCCCATAATCAAAAATCTAAATACATGTTTAGATTCAGCATATCAAAGAACCCCATATATTCAATTTTTGTTGAAATCAAACAAAGTTTAAATACTGGACCCTATCTTGGACCAACTTGAAAACTGGGCCCATAATCAAAAATCTAAACACATGTTTAGATTCAGCAAATCAAAGAACCCCAAGAATTCAATTTTTGTCAAAATCAAACTAAGTTTAATTTTGGACCCTTTGGACCTCAATGTAGACCAATTTAAAAAACAGGACCCAAAATTAAAAACCTAAATACACGGTTAGATTTGGAATATCAAAGAACCCCAATAATTCAATTTTAGATGAAATCAAACAAAGTTTAATTTTGGACCCTTTTGACCTCAATATGAACCAATTAGATAACGGGGTCCACAAATAAAAAATCTAAATACATGGTTAGATTCAGCATATCAAAGAACCCCATATATTCAATTTTTGTTGAAATCAAACAAAGTTTAATTTTGGACCCCAATTTGGACCAACTTGAAAACTGGGCCAATAATCAAAAATCTAAATACATGTTTAGATTCAGCATATCAAAGAACCCCATATATTCAATTTTTGTTAAAATCAAACAAAGTTTAATTTTGGACCCTTTGGACATTAATGTAGACCAATTTGAAAACTGGACCCAAAATTAAAAATCAAAATACACTGTTAGATTCGGCATAACAAATAAATAAATGTGATCAAAGATTTTACAAATCTAATGCGCCATACTGTGCAATTAAAGATTACTTCTTGAAATTTTTCAATATTTGAAATTTGAAAAAAAAATAATATTTGAAGAATAATTCTTTTTAATTTCTGAAATCTGAAATGAGAAAAAATTGGCCCCCCACAATTTCTTTTTATCCCCCCCCCCTTTTTCCCCAAAAAAAATTCTTTCCCTCAAGATATGGTCATAATCTCAATTCAAATTTCCAAAAGAGTTGGCAACCATAATTACCCATTTAAATTTACCATAGTGCTAACTTAATCTATTTTATAATAGAATTAATAAAAATATAGTGTCAAATCTTTCATATGGATTTTTTTGTAAAAAAAAAAGATGAAAACATTTGCAGATATTTTTACTGGTCTTCCTTTATAAATATGCATTTCTTTAAACATAATTTAAAAGCAGTGTAAGGGAAGTAACCAAAACGTTGTATTTGGATTACCTCCCTTACACTGTTTTAGATTATCTTTATTGTTCATTAACCATTACTTTATACATAATTTAAAAGTAGTGTAAGGGAGATAATTTCAATGATGTATTTGATTTATCTCCCTTACACTGCTTTAAATTATGTTTTGTACTAAAGTATTTGTCCATTAACCAGGACAACCTTGTTTTTCCCCCTTTTTTGCCCCTAATTCCTAAACGGTTTGAGCCATAACCCCCCAAAGCAAATCCTAACCATCCCTTTGTGGTATGGAAACTTGTAGTATAATTTCAGAGAGATCCATACACCGTTCCACAGTTATTGTCTGGAAACTAGAAAATGCTCATTTTTGGCCCCTTTTTGGCCCCTAATTCCTTAACTGTTGGTACCATGACCCCCAAAATCAATCCCAACCTTCCTTTTGTGGTATTTAACCTTATGGTCAAATTTCAAAAAGATCCATTCACTTAAACTAAAGTTAGAGTGCGAAAACCAATATGTATTCGGACGACGACGCCGGACGACGACGACGACGACGCCAACGTCATACCAATATACGACCACAAAATTTTTTTGCGGTCGTATAAAAATAAACCCAAGACTTTTTTTTCTAGGAAACACTTTTTCTTTGGAATAAATGACACAATAAAAAAGATCATATGATTAAAAGAAAATGTATGTTACTTTTTGTTGATTATGTATTCCATTTGCTCATTACAACTTGTAAAGTTATATTTATTAACCAAGATGCTCTCTAAACATTTACCAAGACTGCATGTTCTCTTAGGGTGTTACCATGTACTTTTAAACAACATCATATGATGTTTCTGAGAGTATTATACTCACCAATGTAACGACTGAGGTTACACTAACTATTTATAAAGTAAAATCTAAATAATTGATAGACAAGGGAGGATTGCCTCCCCCCTTCCAACTCACTGTTAAACAAAATGATGTATGAATTAATGTTGTATGTACAAAACAATTATTATTCTATCTATCCTGTAAGGGAAAGAACATATACAGGCTGGGCCTTTATCAAATCCCTTTGTTTAAATATTATTGATTTAAACAATAAAATCTTTGAATATTTGAATAACAAACATAATTTTTTCTGATCATGAAAATGTAATAGAATGTGTTTTCCTGTAAAATGTTAAAATATAAGTAACACATGAAAGATTGCTTGCAGACAGTGATAAAAATTTGACAAATAAAAAATATATCAGATTTTTTTTTCACGAAAAAATAATTCACTATATGTGAATAAAATGCTAGTTCATATGCAGGAAGCATTTCAAAATGTCTCCCATTAACAATTTAAATGGTAAATCTATGCATCTTGTTATTACATAAAAATATGACAGTTTCACTCTCACAAATGTTAAGAAATAATAAGGAACACAACCCTCTGTCAAAAAAATGTTCCCACAGGAGGTGTATTCTGTGATATAACACTAAAATATTCCCACAGGAGGTGTATTCTGTGATATAACACTAAAATATTCCCACAGGAGGTGTATTCTGTGATATAACACTCAAATATTCCCACAGGAGGTGTATTCTGTGATGTAACACTAAAATAAGCACCATTTTTACCAAAAATTCTGTAAAATTTCTGGAAAGATGTCAGTCAAATTGTATAAAGAAGCAAAAGCTAAAACTTATTCATCAAGGCATTATTCAGACCTTTGAAAAGGTGATAAATTAAGGTAAAATAGTGAAATAAACCTGCAAGGTAGTCTTTTTCTGTCATACTGAGTTTTTAAACATTTCATTATTTGTGCATTTCATTTCGTATTTAAATTCAAGTCTTGCTGTAAAAAAGAACATAGAGAAATTAGTTGAATATTAATAAATCAACAGTATCAAAAATGATTCTGCCTGCATTATATAAACTAAAAATAGTCCTCTCATGACACCTCTCACGTCCCTCCCATACAGTAACAATGTTTTCTTACAATAACAAAATGTTAAATGATAACAATGTCCAGCAAACAACAGATTATATAAAGTAAGACTACAATATAAGACCTATACAGTTATACTGCATTGGTTTATTATAAGTTGAATTAAAAAATAAATGTGGATAGTGTCCACATGTGGACACAGATGATGCCCCCGCTTGCATATCATATAGTTATAAAGGGACATAACTGAAGAACGGTAAAATTGATGCTACCCAAATTTGAACTTGATCTGATTTTTGTGGTAATAAGCATTGTGTGTAAGTCTCATAACATTTGGTTGAGGCTAACTAAGTAGAGAACAGAAACTAAAAATTCAGCAATTTTTATTTGTAAACACGCATAACTCAAGAATGGTTGTGTATAAGTTTTATAACATTTGGTTGAGACAAACAAAAGTTAGAGAACGGAAACGAAAAATTCAGCAATTTTTATGTTTATAAAGGGACATTACTCAAGAATGGTAAAAGTGTTGCCACCAAATTTAAACTTAAGTTACAGAATGGAAACTAAAAATTTTGCAATCTTTCGATTTATAAAGGGGCATAACTTAATAATGGTTAAAGTGACACTACCCAAATTCAACTTGATCAGTGTTTTATCAGTGGAAGTCAAAATTAAACATTGCATTGTATAAAGCATTGATTGTAGTTGATTCAACTATAATCATGGACAAAGGAAGATAACTCCAAATTTAAAAATTACGTGAAATTTCGAAGAAAATAAAAATTTAGCAATTTTTCCATTTCTAAAGGTGCATAACTCTAGAACGGTTAAAGTGACGCCACCAAAATTCAAACTTGATCTGTGTTTTGTGGTAATAAGCATTGTGTATAAGTTTCATAACATTTGGATGAGGCAAACTAAAATTAGAGAACGGAAATGAAAAATTCAGCAATTTTTCCATTTGTACAGGGGCATAACTCTAGAACGGTAAAAGTGACACCACTAAAATCCAAACTTGATCTGTGTTTTGTGGTAATGAGCATTGCGTATAAGTTTCATAACATTTGGTTGAGGCAAACTAAAGTTAGAGAACGGAAACGAAAAATTCAGCAAAATTTTTCCATTTGTAAAGGGGCATAACTCTTAAACGGTAAAAGTGACGCCACCAAAATTCAAACTTGATCTGTGTTTTGTGGTAATAAGCATTGTGTATAAGTTTCATAACATTTAGTTGAGGCAAACTAAAGTTAGAGAACGGAAACCAATTTTGGGACGTACGTACGTAGGTACAGATGGACATGGGTAAAACTTAATGCACCCTCCGCTACGGCGGGGGCATAAAAATTAAGAATTAAGGTAAAGTTACAGTAAATGGGCTATGTCACAGATTTTGGTAAAAATTTTGCATACATCTTTGAAAATTATAACTGTAAATCGAAAAAATAATGCAAATTTCTGAAATATTACTGATAGGTGAATATTTGTATAGAAAGCACATAAAATCGACTAAAAACATTCTTAAATTTGTCTTAAGATCTTCAAATCTCCAATTTCAAGTCCATAGATTTTTCTTATAAAACTATATGTTTTTTTTACCGTTCCTTGACCTCAAAGATTAACAACAGTTTATTTTACCCAATCATTTTTGTATAATGTAAACTTGATTTTAATCCAATCAAATTTTATATTCATAAGGTAAATGAATCTTTAATTTGGATGTGTGACTTTCAATATTAAATCAAAGTACTAAACATTAGTGTACAAAGTGAAATGTCCTGCCTCCTTTACTGATCATTATTTTTTTATATGTTTGAAAGTCTTTACGATAAAGATTTCACTATATGCATTAAGTAAAATTAACATCATGAAAAGGAAGTCTAGTTCAGATGAGCCCTGACGGAAATGTACACCTTATAATCATTCCATACACCAAATAAAGTTGACCTGCAGCTTATAGTATCTAAGATACTGATCAAACGGTTTGAAACCAGAAAACTGATTGTTGATAAATGAGATCAAGGTCAGGTGAAACCTGTCTGAAAGACATGTAGACCTTGCATTGATTTTATAAACCAAATATAACTATCCTATTTTCCATAACAATTAAGAAAATCATGTGATAATAAAATGCTCCACTGGGGCGCAGCTTGATACGACCACAGAGGTCGAACCCTGAACAGTTGGGGCAAGTATGGACACAACATTCAAGCTTGATACAGCACTGAATTTGGATTGTAATTAAATATTTGACACAGCATAGGTTTCTGACACAGAATGAAAGTGGTCTAAGAACTTAAAAAATTTTAATTTACCTATTCAAACCATATCATTATTATTTGCTTTTATATATAAATCAGAAATAACCAATTTAAAATGGAAAATTTTAAAGAGAAAAAAGGAAAAAAAAATCCCCCCCTAAATTTTTTGAACCCCCTTATGATTCATCTCCCCCAAACTCAATCAAAGGCTTCCCTTTGTGGTATGGTACCTTGCAGTACAATTTCAGAGAGATCCATACACTTGAACACAAGTTATTGTCTGGAAACTAGAAAAATGCTTGTTTTTTGGCCCCTTTTTGGCCCCAAATTCCTAAACATTTAAGGCAATTACCCCCAAACTCAAACCCAGCTTTCCCTTTGTGATATTGAACCTTGCAGTACAATTTCATAAAGATCCATACACTTGCACACAAGTTATTGTCCTGAAACTAGAAAAATGCTTGTTTTTTTGCCCTTTTATGGCCCCTAATTACTAAAAATTTTTAGGAAATTACCCCCAAAATCAATCCCAGCCTTCCCTTTGTAGTGTGTGTGGTACCTTGCAGTACAATTTCAGAGAGATCCATACACTTGAACACAAGTAATGGTCTGGAAACTAGAAAAATGCTTATTTTTGGCCCCTTTTTGGCCCCTTATTCCTAAACTTTTTGGGCAATTACCCCCAAACTCAATTCCAGCTTTCCCTTTGTGATATGGAACCTTGTTGTACAATTTCATAAAGATCCATACACTTACACACAAGTTATTGTCATGAAACAAGAAAAATGCTTGTTTTTTGCCCCTTTTTGGCCCCTAATTCCTAAAATTTGGAGGCAATTACCCCCAAAATCAATCCCAGCATTCCCTTTGTGATATGGAACCTTGTGGTACAATGTCAGAGAGATCCATACACTTACACACAAGTTATGTCTGGAAGTTACAAAAATGCTTATTTTTGGCCCCTTTTTGGCACCTAATTCCTTAACTATTGGTACCATAACCCCCAAAATCAATCCCCACCTTCCTTTTGTGGTATTGAACCTTATGGTAAAATTTCATTGAGATCCATTCACTTAAACTAAAGTTAGAGTGCGAAAACTAATGTGTCTTCGGACGACGACGACGCCAACGTCATACCAATATACGACCACAAAATTTTTTTTGCGGTCGTATAAAAATGAGACATTTTTTTTAAGTAGTTGCCAAACTATGAAAGTGTGGTCAAGGACAACAGACATATGCCAGACAGACACTTCAAACATAAGGCATCTGCATATAAGATCTGAAGTATCCTGGTTTCTACCTTTTGAAATATAAAGCATTATACAAATAGTTTACGCTGTCAGCACCCCTGGATAACCTTCCTTATGTCTTGCATTTGGCAATACAAAAATACTTTACCTGCAAGCCCAACTACTCATGATGTAAAAAATTATTTTTCAGACAATTACAGGTAATTTAGAAGTTACAAATATTAACATAAATTATGATTTCATTTTATTATAGTTAGTCAATAAATTATAAGTAAGGTAACAACTACCGGTAGTCATGATTATAATTGATTAATTTGCAAAAGCATTATTATTTTTTCTACATTTCTAAATTACATTGTAGCATAGCAAGGCTTAAGATCAATATCAGAAGGTATTTATTGCTTGAAGACCGCAATAAAACTTGATTCTCAATTAACCTGATATACAGTAGGTCTTTAGTTAATGATATGAGCCAATTTCTGATCAGGTAGCATCTTTATTATTTAGCCAAATTGAAAGGTTTATTCACCTAATAAATTCATATCTTAAGAAACAATGAAGTTAGGCTAATATCTCTTGAATTTATAACATAAACAGGGTGGCTATTACTAAATCTATTTATAACATAAACAGGGTGGCTATTACTAAATCTATGCAAATTTTGTTTACTTTCATGTTCTGATGATTTTGCATCATGAAAGTTTCATAAAAAAAAAATATGTTTATATACTACTTAAAACTACAATTTTAGTACTTTTGACAAATTTAAGATTTCAATCTCAATGAGAAATGCTAAAATCGTGAAAATAAATTGACCTTCATTTAGTCACAGGAAACAACATATCTTAATTTGAAAAGATTTCGTCAAAGCGTTTTCATGTTAATGAACGGACACTGTTTGGCAACCGTCCGCAAGCCCGCCATACATCCCCAAATCAATAACCGATTTTTCCTTCGAAAAACCAGTTAAAAATGAATAAGAGGAGGATTACCAACCAAACACAAAATTCTACAGAATGTATAGCTGCACACTGCCTTTCACATACAAATAAATTTAATTTGGTTTTAATTGTCATTCAAAGGCAAAACATTTAAAAGTTGCTATATTTTATCAATAAAACAGTCATCTGACAACAGCAATGTGCAGAGCTACAAAAACATTTCAATCCCATGGATAGTTGTAAAAATGTTGGAAAATCTCTTTATTGTGTCATTAAGACTCTTCAATTTTTAAATTTCACTAGGCTTCATTAATCTTCTGATATTGATTCTGTGAGTGAAAAAAACAGCTGGGGAAAAGGGACAAAACCTAGTTTTATATCCATTAAGAAATGTCATCTAACAATTGGTTAATATATCAGTGAGGTTTGACTAAGAGGGTGTTTAAAGAGCCTTGCAGTTGTAATTACTGCAAGATTGTTTCTTTATGAAATGAAGATTATTCAAAAGATAACCATATTCTCTTAAATACATTCTAACAAAGTAATAATAATAAACATGATCATTTGAGGATACAATCCTTTCTAAACAAACAAGCAATGAAATATACATCAGTACAGCTGAATTCATTGAATAATAAATAACAAAAAAATAGTTATGATTAAACTAAAAGAAATAATATCTTCAATACAATTACGATAAAAATATATATGTATGGAAGTATGTGTGATATTTTTTTTAATAAATTTGTAGGTTTTCAAATTTAAACTTTTTAGGTTTTATAAATTTTGGACTCCTGGAATATATATGATGGCCGATGTTCTTTATTGTATGTGTATTTTCTTTCTCAGGAGAGTTAAACGTTGAGAGGATTTTGATGTTGTATTCTCATTTTCCTCCCTACATTTTATGTATTTTGAGTTGGAAGTCATGATAGTTTTTCATTCCAGCAGCAATGCCTTTCAATTTTAACAAAAGGAGAGGGTCATTAAAGGGCTTATTTGACCCCAACATTTTACAAATATAGAAAGGTTTAAGGTGTTCAAAGAAGCACTCAGACCTGTTGGGATGTCACAAAATCATAAATTTTCTGAAAAATGCTGCATATGACCTGCCAAAGAATATTTATAGAACGGACAACTAAAGATATTAATATCCAAGAAAGGCCTTTGGTCTATCAACATTATATCTAGACACCTTGATGGTTGTCAAGGGTACAGATAGCAGTTTCTCTTTGTAACAAAAATTTCAAGAAAATGTTTCCAGCATTTCTCTTGGATATTCACCTATATTCAAGGATAGAAACAAAGCAGATAGTTCTCATTAGGAAGTTTCAAACATATAGCCTTTCTAAAAAACATTTCATATATTAAAGTCATGATCAGTAACTGCCTTAATCTAAGGCAAAAAATATGATATCTTAAAACTTTTCAAAGACTTTACCATGAATACTGAATAAAATGTAGAATTCCAAAAGGGATAAAACTTGTTTTTTTATCACTCCCTACCAAATATTAGAAATTCCAAGATTTTTGTCACTTTCATGAATTTTAAGGGAATTGCCAGATCTGGATATTCAAAATAATAAAAATCTGGGTTTTATCAAGTTTTCAAGGTAGAATGGGAATCCTGATATTGATAATTTCTCATCAAATTCACTGTCTATAGAACAAAAGTCAGCCTTGTTGCTATATCTCGACCTTTATGTGTTCATATTGACCTTGACAATTATACTTTAAAGAGTTTTAAAAAAGTAATAGCATTTACATTTCAATTACTTTTTTGTACAGATTTATTGATTTATTAGCAAAAGAACAAAATTTGGGATCAAAAGGATCCTTTTTTCTTTCTGGTTAAGATATGAAAATGCATATAAATACAGTATATGACACAATGATAACAAATATGCCACAAAAAATCTGATCTTTCTGGTTAAGACATAACCTTGTATATTAATGTTGTATATAATTATTGTATGCTATGACATATCTGAATCTTTGTTGTCTTCTCTGTGGTTTTCACTTTCTACAAAATTCTGAAAAATAAGAAGAATCAAACCATCTTGAGTGAACCTATCTGACTTTTAACATCTATGCACGTCAATTCTCTACATTAAGTCTTTTCTTTACAAATGTTCAATTCAAAGTATATGTAAGAAGCTTTCTTTTGAAGTATTGAAAGAGATTTAAATGCTACTTGGTATAGATGTGTCTTACTTTGTATACTAAGTAAAATCCAGTACAAATCAGAATTCCAATATCTACTAGTAGAAATAGGTATATCCAGACTTATACTAGGAGGATCCTAGATTGAACAAAATTTTTAGTAGGATCCAGGTAACTACTTAAAACTATATTTGTTACAATTCTGGTTTGTACTGGATTTATTTTTTATTTAATGTTTTTACTGATTGAACTCAATGTAAATCTCATAAAATATAGAAACTTTCTTGCATTTTTTTTTCAAAATAGTTTATTCATATCACATTTGCTCCAATTCTTGCTAAAACATTCAAACATACATGATTAACAAAATTCATTAGATTTTCTGCCAAGTTGCAGACACAAATTATCTGACAATCTTCTCCAAAGGTGACAACTTTTAAACAGGCTTGTCACTGTTGTACTTTTTCAAAATGAATCAATTTTGTCAAAGTTCATGCTTTGGAAAGGGAAACCCCAAAAATTATTTGATCAAAACCAAAATAGGAGGTGCAAAATGGCATTATGTCATGAGGAATCTGTGAAAGTTTTATTTGAATCTGTTTACTGGTTTAGGAGGATTACAAATGGGGGACGTTCACCCCTTATAATATGAAATTGAAAGTCCATGTTTTTGCAATGGGAAACCACAAAAATCTTTTCAATAAAAAGTAAAATTAGAGATGCACAAGTACATTACCAGGGGTTTCATTATTTTTTTAGACTGGAGGTACCTTTGAGATTATAGGGGGAACCAAATCCAAATGGCGAGGGGTCTGGGGGCCGCTTTAGGCCCTCAGTGGGTCCAGGGCTAGCCCTGGTAGGCTGACCAGGGGGGGGGGGGGGCATAGCCCCCCGGAAGCTCCTGGATTTTAGGGATTTCAGCCTTAATTTTTTACTTAAAAAAAGTATAGATCTATCTTCTGCCAATTTAGGCACACCTCCAAAGTAGGAGAAGTGATAATTATAAACCATGTGTCTGTATCTGTATCGTAAGAGCGCTTTAAAAAGCGACGATTTAGCAGTATATTTTCAAGCGGCAAATTGTTGATGAATTTAAACAACAACAGCAATATTAAAAGTATAAAAACAAACAAAACATTTTAACAACATTTCACATGAAACCCCTGCATTATCAGGGGTTTCATTATTTTTTTAGACTGGAGGTACCTTTGAGATTATAGGGGGAACCAAATCCAAATGTTGTTAAAATGTTTTGTTTGTTTTTATACTTTAGTCTTTTATTAAATGTTTTGCATTTGTTCAATTTTGTGAATGAAATTTCATAAGTTACATAGTATATTATTAAAAAAAATTGATAATAAAACTTGTTGTAAGTTTTTTTTATTGCTTTGTTATAATCATAACTGTGTCAATTGTTTGTGTAAGTAATTAGTGTCATATATTGTGAATCTGTCAGACTGCCACCTGTAGAGTAATTATTACTTTTTTTTTCAAAAATGAAATAAAACAATTAAATATTGTCTTCACTTTAAATTTTCCGTGTTAATTCAGATTTTTTCATGAAGTCTTACACTAAAAATTTCAATCACAACATAGAACACATATCGAGAAAACGGAGATCAGTGACAACGTCCAACGGGAAACGAACTGATTTGATACGATTAACGACTTTCTGAATTTCATAGAATGTTCACCTTTATTAAACCTTTTATTCATAAAATAATCTGTGATACAAGCTGCTTTCCTTTTATTAGACATAATATTGCTGTTGTTGTTTAAATTCATCAACAATTTGCCGCTTGAAAATATACTGCTAAATCGTCGCTTTTTAAAGCGCTCTTACGATACAGACACATGGTTTATAATTATCACTTCTCCTACTTTGGAGGTGTGCCTAAATTGGCAGAAGAGAGATCTATACTTAAACGCGAACCTCGACGAAGACACCTATAAACATACACATGAACGGCGTAGAACGGAGATTCTCAAGGAAAGAAAGAAATTAGATTTGAACAATCTTCAAAAGAATTTTACATTTTTTTTTTGTATTTTTATTTTTTCTGCCGGTACCAGACGCTTCCGTAGGCGGGTAAAAGTACCAGGTACCGGGTCTTAATGAATGCACTGCATTACCGGATAAAGATTATGATAAAGTTTTCATGAAATTCATTCTTTGGTTTAAAAGAATGAACAGAAACACTGATCACTATATACCCCCACTTTATTAAGCAGGGGTATAATAATACCCAACTTTCGAATTATTTCCTAAGATGGCAATTAGCTTTATTCAGTTGGGTAGCATGTTAATGCTGATACTTACATTAAATAATGCTCTAACGGAGAACGGAGATTCTCAAGGAAAGAAAGAAATTAGATTTGAACGATCTTCAAAAGAATTTTACATTTTTTTTTTGTATTTTTATTTTTTCTGCCGGTACCAGGCGCTTCCGTAGGCGGGTAAAAGTACCAGGTACCGGGTCTTAATGAATGCACTGCATTACCGGATAAAGATTATGATAAAGTTTTCATGAAATTCATTCTTTGGTTTAAAAGAATGAACAGAAACACTGATCACTATATACCCCCACTTTATTAAGCAGGGGTATAATAATACCCAACTTTTGAATTATTTCCTAAGATGGCAATTAGCTTTATTCAGTTGGGTAGCATGTTAATGCTGATACTTACATTAAATAATGCTCTAACTGGAACAGGTGATGAAGTTGGCACTGTAGGACTAGGCTGTGACATCAATGGACTACCATGCTGTGCTATGATAGATGAGTTCGGTGATATTAATGGTGATGATGTAGTAAGGTCTAATTTGATAGGAGAAGCAAATGGATTTGGTAAATTTTGTGGAATGTTACTATGTACAAAGTCTGATTTTCCAAAACTAGATAATTGTTGTGTTACACCTAAAAGTCCTCCTTCATCCACAGTTATAATCACCCATATCACTTCTGAAATGTACAAGTCATGGTAGAATTTAGCAATGCTGAATGGTAATCACATAATTTATTGCATACATGTAGGTACAATTTCTGTTCAATTTTACTCTGACCATAGCAATAAGCTTTTATGAAAATCATTTGCTATACTATTCTTAGGTATAATAGAAATAAAGAACTGCTCCATGAGTGCATGATACACTCCTCGCCCTTTTTAACTCGTCTTTATAGTTAAACAAGTCACCAAAGTTTCATGTAAACTACTCAAAGCCTTTTTGAGTTTTTGTCTGAAAACTGGAAAATCCCCCCTTTTTTTATGAATAAGTCCCAATACTCCCAAAATATAAAATCAGAAATTTTAGAAAAATCGATAAGGAACTTGTGTCAATATATATAAACAATTCACCAAATTCATGAAAATTGCTCGAAGCATTTTTGAGTTATAGTCAGAAAACTGGATAATCCCCCATTATTTTATGAATAAAATCCCACAACTCAGTAACATAAAATCTAAAACTTATAAAATAGATATAAACTATTCACCAAAGTTTCATGAAAATTGGTGAAAGGGTTTTTTGAGTTATTGTCCAAACTGTTGACGACGGATGGACAGACGGACAAAGGTATACCATAATATAATAAATGGGGAATGTGTCCATGGGACAAAGATGATGCCCCTGCTTGCATATAACATTATAAAGGTACATAACTCAAGCACAGTAAAAGTGACACTACTCAAATTTGTACTTGATCTGAGTTTTCTGGTAATAACCATTGTGTATAAGTTTCATAACATTTGGTTGAGGCAAACTCAAGTTAGAGAACGGAAACGAAAAATTCAGCAATTTTTTCATTTGTAAAGGGGCATAACTCTAGAACGGTAAAAGTAACGCCACCAAAATTCATACTTGATCTGTGTTTTGTGGTAATAAGCATTGTGTATAAGTTTCATAACATTTGTTGAGGCAAACTTAAGTAAGAGAACGAAAACCAGTTTCGGGACATACGTACGGACAGATGTACAGACGAAGGGTAAAACTTAATGACCCCTCTGCTACGGCGGGGGCATAAAAATAACTAGGACATCACTACATTTTTGGACTTAACCCTACTTAGTAAAAAAAATACCAGCCTTTTTTGTGCAGATTAACTAGGTGTTAATATTTCAACAACACCAAATTCATTTTGGGGAATTTCATAATATATAAGGCCAACTAAAATTAATTAGTAGATTTGTAAATAAAATGCTCCGCTGGGGCGCAGCTTGATACAACCGCAGAGGTCGAACCCTGAACAGTTGGGGCAAGTATGGACACAACATTCAAGCTTGATACAGCACTGAATTTGGATTGTAATTAAATATTTGACACAGCATAGGTTTCTGACACAGAATAAATGTGGTCTAAGAACTTAAAAATTTTTAATTTATCTATTCAAACCATATCATTATTATTTGCTTTTATATATAAATCAGAAATAACCAATTTAAAATGGAAAATTTTAAAGAAAATAAAATGCTCTGCAGGGCACAGCTTGATACGACCGCAGAGGTCGAACCCTGAACAGTTGGGGGAAGTATGGACACAACATTCAAGCTTGATACAGCTTTGGATTTGGATTGTGATTAAATATTTGACACAGCATAGGTTTCTAACACAGATTGAATGTGGTCTAAGAACTTAAAAATTTTAAATTGGACATTCACCTATTATGGTCCAATATCCAAAATCTATATCAGCATATCAAAGAACCCCAAGAATTCAATTTTTGATGAAATCAAACAAAGTTTAATTTTGGACCCTTTTGACCTCAATGTGGACAAAGTTGATAACGGGGCCCAAAAATCAAAAATCTAAATACATGGTTAGATTCAGCATATCAAAGAACCCCATATATTCAATTTTTGTTGAAATCAAACAAAGTTTAATTTTGGACCCCGATTTGGACCAACTTGAAAACTGGGCCCATAATCAAAAATCTAAATACATGTTTAGATTCAGCATATCAAAGAACCCTAAGAATTCAATTTTTGTTAAAATCAAACTAAGTTTAATTTTGGACCCTTTGGACCTTAATGTAGACCAATTTGAAAACGGAACCAAAAATTAAGAATCTAAATACACGGTTAGATTCGGCATATCAAAGAACCCCAATAATTCAATTTTTGATCAAATCAAACAAAGTTTAATTTTGGACCCTTTTGACCTCAATGTGGACAAAGTTGATAACGGGGCCCAAAAATCAAAAATCTAAATACATGGTTAGATTCAGCATATCAAAGAACCCCATATATTCAATTTTTGTTGAAATCAAACAAAGTTTAATTTTGGACCCCGATTTGGACCAACTTGAAAACTGGGCCCATAATCAAAAATCTAAATACATGTTTAGATTCAGCATATCAAAGAACCCTAAGAATTCAATTTTTGTTAAAATCAAACTAAGTTTAATTTTGGACCCTTTGGACCTTAATGTAGACCAATTTGAAAACGGAACCAAAATTTAAGAATCTAAATACACAGTTAGATTCGGCATATCAAAGAACCCCAATAATTCAATTTTTGATGAAATCAAACAAAGTTTAATTTTGGACCCTTTGGACCTCAATGTGGACCAATTTAAAAACGGGGCCCAAAATCCAAAAACTAAATACACGGTTAGATTCAGCATATTAAAGAACCCCATGAAATCAAGAAAAAAACCCCATTGTAATTGGTCAAGAAATAAGCAATTTATAGGAAGTATCTTCTTTTGCACAATCCTGTGCTATTAAATATTTCTTGCTATTGTGCAATACTGTACAATTGACAATTTCTTGCTATTGCGCAATATTGTGCTATTGGATATTTCTTGCTATTGCGCAATACTGTGCAATTGAAGATTTCTTGCTATTGCGCAATACTGTGCAATTGAAGATTTCTTGCTATTGTGCAATACTGTGCAATTGAAAATTTCTTCCTATTGCACAATACTTATTATATAATAATTTACACATCCTGTTTTGGTGTGTATCTCCTACCATATCATTATTATTTGATTTTAAATATAAATCAGAAATAACCAACTTAAAATGGAAAATTTTAAAAGAAACAAAAAAGGAAAAAAAGAAAAAAAGGAAAAAAAAATAAATCCCCCCCCAAAATTTTTTGAACCCCCATTATGATTCATCACCCCCAAACTCAATCCCAGCCTTCCCTTTGTGGTATGGTACCTTGCAGTACAATTTCAGAGAGATCCATACACTTGAACACAAGTTATTGTCTGGAAACTAGAAAAAAATGTGTTTTTTTGCCCCTTTTTGGCCCCAAATTCCTAAACGTTTAGGGCAATTACCCCCAAACTCAAACCCAGCTTTCCCTTTGTGATATGGAACCTTGTAGTACAATTTCAGAAAGATCCATACACTTACACACAAGTTATTGTCATGAAACTAGAAAAATGCTTGTTTTTTGCCCCTTTTTTGGCCCCTAATTCCTAAAATTTGGAGGCAATTACCCCCAAAATCAATCCCAGCATTCCTTTAGTGATATGGAACCTTGTGGTACAATGTCAGAGAGATCCATACACTAACACACAAGTTATGTCTGGAAGTTACAAAAATGCTTATTTTTGGCCCCTAATTCCTTTACTGTTATTACCATAACCCCCAAAATCAATCCCAACCTTCCTTTTGTGGTATTGAACCTTGTGGTAAAATTTCATAAAGATCCATTCACTTAAACTAAAGTTAGAGTGCGAAAACCAAGTGTCTTCGGACGACGACGACGCCAACGTCATACCAATATACGACCACAAAAATTTTTTTGCGGTCGTATAAAAAGGAAAAAAAAAATCCCCCCCCCAAAATTTTTTTTAACCCCCTTATGATTCATCACCCCCAAACTCAATCCCAGCCTTCCCTTTGTGGTATGCTATGGTACCTTGCAGTACACATACATGTGATGGACTGTGAAACTAAGATCAGGAGTTTTGGAGATTAGGACTCAGATCAGGATGTTTTTAAGTGACATAAATTCTGTCGTAAATGTAACCATGTGCTGTAGAAATTGTCTGTTAAAGTGTGTTTTCTTCAACTTTCCATCCGAATGTATTATGTTTATAGTACCTTTGTACTTATAAATTTTCTCTATCTTTTTAAACTTTCAACTTGTTCAATCTAACATTCTTCTTTTTCAGTATGTTCTTTAAATTTTTTAGGTCATATCTTTTTTACAATTATTCATTGCAATCAGAACATTTGCTTATCTATCTGCAATAGATCTTTTATTTTTATCTTTATGCAAGTAGATTTTTAATGCATGATAAGTAACACATTCAAACCGTAATCATGGGTCATAGTAATTATATAAATTTCAATTTAAGCCTTGAAAGGAAGTATAGAACCCTCAAATAATTTTCAAATTATTATTTTTTTATTTGTCCTAAAACATTTAAAATCATTTAATTACCATCCTTTTGTGATTATTTGTTCAATTTATATTTTATTTATATTCTTTTAAAAATTTACATTATTTAAAGGAAAGTAACTTAAAACAGGATAAATCAAGGGAAGTAACCCAACATTCATTTTAAATAAATAAAGTATTATTGCACAACGGCAGTTAGCCTGAGGTAAAAATCGTTTATTACCAGTATGTTTGACACCCAAGGTGACAAGTGAGGCCATATAACTATGCATGTTAATTGATTTACAGGTAAAATATAACTTCAGTAATGTCAGTTACACCAGATATTTTGGGCTGAAATTTTTCATTCATGAAATATTTCATACACGGGATTTGTTTGTCTTCAAAGGGAGGTCGGGAGGAGACCCCTGAAAACGGGATTATTGTACTCCCGTCGGGAAGTTCACATGTATGAACTGTACAATTTCAGAGAGATCCATACACTTGAACACAAGTTATTGTCTGGAAACAAGAAAAATGCTTGTTTTTTGGCCCCAAATTCCTAAACATTTAGGGCAATTACCCCCAAACTCAAACCCAGCTTTCCCTTTGTGATATGGAACCTTGCAGTACAATTTCATAAAGATCCATACACTTACACACAAGCTATTGTCCTGAAACTAGAAAAATGCTTGTTTTTTTGCCCCTTTATGGCCCCTAATTCCTCAAATTTCTAGGGAATTACCCCCAAAATCAATCCCAGCCTTCCCTTTGTGGTTTGGTACCTTGCAGTACAATTTCAGAGAGATCCATACACTTGAACACAAGTTATTGTCTGGAAACTAGAAAAATGCTTATTTTTGGCCCCTTATTCCTAAACGTTGTGGGCAATTACCCCCAAAATCAATTCCAGCTTTCCCTCTGTGATATGGAACCTTGTAGTACAATTTCATAAAGATCCATACACTTACACACAAGTTATTGTCAGGAAACTAGAAAAATGCTTGTTTTTTCCCCTTTTTGGCCCCTAATTCCTAAAATTTGGAGGCAATTACCCCCAAAATCAATCCCATCATTCCCTTTGTGATATGGAACCTTATGGTACAATGTCAGAGAGATCCATACACTTACACACAAGTTATTGTCATGAAACTAGAAAAATGCTTGTTTTTCCCCCTTTTTGGCCCCTAATTCCTAAAATTTGGAGGCAATTACCCCCAAAATCAATCCCAGCATTCCCTTTGTGATATGGAACCTTGTGGTACAATGTCAGAGAGATCCATACACTAACACACAAGTTATGTCTGGAAGTTACAAAAATGCTTATTTTTGGCCCCTTTTTGGCCCCTAATTCCTTAACTGTTGGTACCATAACCCCCAAAATCAATCCCCACCTTCCTTTTGTGGTATTGAACCTTAAGGTAAAATTTCATTGAGATCCATTCACTTTAACTAAAGTTAGAGTGCGAAAACCAATGTGTCTTCGGACGACAACGCCGGACGACGACGACGCCAACGTCATACCAATATACGACCACAAATTTTTTTTGTGGTCTTATAAAAATGGGGTGGGTGGGAGGATTTTATTTTTTAATTTTTATTTCCTCCTTAACCCTTTTGTGACGTGTTGTTCTTATACAAGGGTAATAATAAGCTTATATCATGTATATATATAAGGAATTCTACATTATTTTTCAAATTCTTAAATTAATAATTCTGATTGGCAACCACTATTCTACTGTACATGCAATTGCCGCTTTAGAAATCCTAATTTTAGTAAAAAGCAAAAATGTGGAGAAATGTTCTCTTTTAGACTACCTAGATCAAATTAATTTTGCTTTCTAGAAATGATTTGTAGTGCTAATAAAATGAAGCATATGCAATGGTATGCAACACACATATTATGAGTACAGAGTGAAATAAAAACTCAAACTGTCTTGAAAATTCTAGGGTTGATGCTATTTAGATTCTTATGCAAGGTGCAAATATTATTACAATGTAAAACATGAACTGAACAAAAAAGAAGTAGTTGTTTAGTGACTCTATTCATTGAGGGGCTGGGGACAGAGGGTGTTTGTCTGTGCTATTGTACAATACTGTGCTATTGTGCTATACTGTGCAATTGAAGATTTCTTGCTATTCGCAATACTGTGCAATTGAAGATTTCAAAAATTTTGAAGAAAAAAATGAACCCCCCCAAAAAAAATTGGAAAAAAAAAATCCCCCCAACTTTTTGGAGTAATTACCCCCAAACTCAATCCCAGCCTTCTCTTTATTGTATGGAACCTTGTAGTACAATTTTAGAGAGATCCATACACTTAAACACAAGTTATTGTCTGGAAACTAGAAAAATGCTTGTTTTTGGCCCCTTTTTTGGCACTAATTCCTGAACGTTTGGGGCAATTAACCCCAAACTCAATCCCAGCCTTTTCTTTTTTATATGGAACCTTGTGGTACAATTTCAAAGAGATCCAATTTGAAGTGAATGGATCTCTATGAATTTTTACCAGAAGGTTCAATACCACAAAAGGAAGGTTAGGATTGATTTTGGGGGTGATGGTACCAACATTCTAGGAATTAGGGGCCAAAAACAAGCATTTTTGTAGTTTCCGGACAATAATTTGTGTGTTAGTGTATGGAAGTTCAATACACTAAAGGTATTGTCTGGAAACCAAATGTGTCTTCGGACGCGGACGACGACATCATAGCATTTTACAACGCAAAAAAATTTTTGCGGTCATATAAAAATCCTTCTCATCACTGAAATTTGTGACATACCGAGATTAGCGTTCTTGGACACCGCCTGTTACTCGTAACCCGAGTATTTCATGCCCTTCTAGTAATCAATCTACATTCTCAGAAGATAATGTTGTCACAATGAGAAAAAGAATATGTCTACTTATATTAATCGATGAAATATGAAAACCGAAATTTGAAACAGGAAGGTTTGAATGAAACGAAATTATCGAAGGTTACCGGTAATGGAAATGAACAAAACCTGGAAATCGTAAATTTAAAAAAAATAAAAAAAATTGGGGCCAACGGGGATGAAAATCTATCAATCAATTTTAATTGGCCTAAAACTAGATATGTGACAAAGAAGTGATACACCTGTCCATAAGAATAAAATATTCAGTTAAGCATGTTGATGAAAGATCTAAGTAATTATACAATGTTATACCGTTAATCATGTTGATTATAGGTAAATATAGAATCAAGTCTGATGTTTAGTGTTGACCCTTACCACCAAAAAATAAGCCTGTTGGTGTAGACATTCTCCACTGACTCTGGAAAACACCTGTGGCAGCAGGACTTTCCATTTCTACACTAACATCAGCCTCTTGTCCTGGTACTAACATATTAACAATGGCACGATCTGTGTTACTGAGGTTATCACCACAACAGTATCTCAAGTTACAACCTGGTGGCCAGGCATCTTCACCTTCAATATACATGTAATACATTTAACACAGGCATAAGTTTATATCTATTTTATTTGCTTTTAGTTGTATTTTTTTCCCCAAATCAAAACCTATCAACAACTACTTACATTGAAACTTGTATGTGATTACCATTTCATAAAATGTGTGTTACCTGACCATTAAAATTTGTAAACTAATTAATAGATGCAATTTCTTCACTTTCTTTTAACTCAAACCAAATATAAATTGGAATCTGATTCAAGTTCAAATTTGTTTATCAACTTGTAAAAAAATTCACAAATTATTACAATTTCCAATCAAACTGTGTTTTGGGAACTGAACAGAGTCTGTGCTAGACATCAGGCTAAACATATTGTAACAATCCAATTAGACGTAATCTATCTGCAAAATTTCATGTCCACTGGCACATTTCTCCCATTTAAAGCCAGTGTCACTAGAGGATCAGGAATTGCTGAACCTTTCTGAACATCCTTGGTTTTCGTAGGGGATCATGTTGCTTAATCTTTAGTTTTTGTAGGGGGTCATGTTGCTTAATCTTTAGTTTTCGTAGGGGGTCATGTTACTTAATCTTTAGTTTTCGTAGGGGGTCATGTTGCTTAATCTTTAGTTTTTGTAGGGGGTCATGTTACTTAATCTTTAGTTTTTGTAGGGGGTCATGTTACTTAATCTTTAGTTTTTGTAGGGGGTCATGTTACTTAATCTTTAGTTTTTGTAGGGGGTCATGTTGCTTAATCTTTAGTTTTTGTAGGGGGTCATGTTGTTTAATCTTTAGTTTTTGTAGGGGTCATGTTACTTAATCTTTAGTTTTTGTAGGGGGTCATGTTACTTAATCTTCAGTTTTTGTAGGGGGTCATGTTGTTTAATCTTTAGTTTTTGTAGGGGGTCATGTTACTTAATCTTTAGTTTTTGTAGGGGGTCATGTTGCTTAATCTTTAGTTTTTGTAGGGGGTCATGTTGTTTAATCTTTAGTTTTTGTAGGGGTCATGTTACTTAATCTTTAGTTTTCTATGTAGTGTTTTGTGGACTGTTGTTTTTTGTTTGTTTTCTTTTGCAAGTAAAATTAAATTCATCTTCAACAGGAATGTCTAGCTAATTGTCAGCCATTAAAAGACCGTACCAATATTTTTTATTCTCCAGGTTTTAATAAACTTTGTACTAGGAGGTACAGCTTCACCTTCCCCAATAGTCACATCCTTTACAAAACACATCACAGGCAGTCTAATATTGGTTAAACTTGGTTGATCAAAGTCATAATATGCACAAACAGCAGCTTGCAAATTCCTGTCAAAAGTATCAATATTTTAATACATACATATATGAAAAATCACAATAAAAAACAGTTGGAAAGTCTTCAAGTAGTAGTGTGCATGTGCTTAAAATACAAAATATATCAAATTCCAAACACCTAACTTTGTTAATATTATTGGTGTGAGTCTGACATGTAAATAAATAAAAACCCATGAAGTCTGGATTGGGAGGATATTTTTATTACTTAAAATTTTACTTGTTTTAATCATTCTATTAGTCCTATGTCACATGTGTCATTTTATAGGCGAAAATGTGATTATGGCTTCTGGGGAAATTAATTCACTGATTACAACTCTTATGCTTTATCTTTAGGGCAATAGGTCAAAACTAAGAGATACATGTAGGTAAGGTTTCTACAGACTCATCTTTGTCTTACGAATATTCTGATAAGAAAATCTCCTCACGTAATAAAAAAATTAATAAAAATAAAATGCTAGATCTGTTTATCAATTTGTATAGCTGCTCTGGTTAGTTACACCCTTTCTTCAGTTGGTTCCTTACTGTAGTAATGAGGTAATTTTGGAAAGTATATCATATTCTATAATAATACAAACCATCAGGCCGAAAAAAATTTCTGGAAAAAATAACGTTAGGTACATGTAGGCAAATAATTTAATTCAAAAATGTTTTTGACTGGTTTAAACAGAGGAAACAGTCACTTAATGGTAGGCACTCAAAATAAGTATGGTAGGGTTAGAGGAAAAACAAGTATTTTTCTATTAGCAGAATTAGGCATGACAAATAGACCACTTTTGTGTAATGTCTTTCAGTGGAAAAGTTCCTCAATTATGCACGCCTTTATGACTACCAGATAGAGGGGATTGCCTGTATCCCAGCACTATTAAAGTTCATCAAGCATCTTTGTGATCATCATTATGCAGGATAAACTAGAAATAATGTTTGTTCCGTAGGTACTAAATCACAATTCCCTAATGAGAGCAGTGCTGATTATCAATCATAAGAATTTAATTTGTGGAATAATACGTACAATACAGCATTATATTTTTTCAACCACTCACTCAACATGGGAAGGAAGTGACAATGCCCCTAAACGCAATAATGATGTCCACAAAGTTTTTGACGGTAATGCAACGAACTCGAAAGTTGTCTATTGGTTGACTGATACAATGTGCCCGTCTCTCAACTCACTAGTGAAATGTTTTTGCAGTTTTAGATCTTTAGATGCCTGAATAGTCGCCTTATCCGGTTATCGATTGTGTCATTTTCCTAATTCTGACATTTTGACAGTGTAGATTCACATGGTGGGTGATGCATGAATAGCAAGAGACACATCGACAATACACCCAGGCTTGCTTCTTTCGGATTCATGCAATTCCCTCAACTATTGTTTTTGTTACCTTGATTTGTATCTTCCTAATCAATTTATGAGATTTGAATATCCTTAAACTACTGTTGTCTTAATTTAAATACCATATTTCTTGTATGTAAGTAAATTCCTGTCATTCAAAGCTCCCTTGGAGAGCGAAGAATATGTGTACACTCACTATCAGTATCATGATTAATGGAGATGTGTCACTAACTTATATACACCACAGACAATCCCCAACCCAGGTCTGTTATTATGGTGGAGCCAACCGACACACTCTGGGAGAACCATGATGGGAAAAAACAAACCAGGGATTATTGGTGATTCATCTCCCTGTCAAAATAGTGGGCCACGTTGACCAACCGAGGCCCCCAAACTACTATCTGAAATTTTATAACGGATGCAATATTTACTTATATAATAAAGCGTAAACAGTATAATGTAGATAGAAGGGTGATTATTTGACACGGAAATGAAAGCTTTAATTAATATTTATTGCTAATAAACGTACCAGTTATTCATATCAAGAAAAAATCCACATCCTTCTGGTGAAAGTTGGTTAGGACCAAGGAGTTTTTGAAATTCTGAGATCAAAACTTCTTTATCAGTAGTTCCTAGAGAACTAAACTGTCTTAAAAGATTCCCGTCAAGTTCATTATCGACATCCATATTAAATGTTTAAGTAAATGATGTCATATGTTTTGTTACAAATTTAGATACTACGCAACAATATTTCTTTAAACTGGGAAGTTTTCATTTGTGGCGTGCTTCTGCCATATTACGCTGACGTCACATAAATTTGCGTACCGGAAGTTTCAAAATGCAAATTAGCCATGTGCTTCGTGGTAATAACAAAGACCTAAAATAACTATAAAGCTCTTCTTCTTTTAAAGAATATTTACAGAAAAAAAAACTATCAAATGGTTGATGATTACTTTCTAGTGCCTGCCTGATTTAACAGTATTGTTAATGATTACATATTTATTTTCTAATTTGTAAGTATGATTTATCAATTTTCATTTTCATTTTTTTTTGTATTAGATATTAAAAAACCTGAAAATTCTGCCTTTCTACCCTAAATAAAATATTGAAAGTACCAAAACTTAGATACAACAGATTTGACAGATAATAGTGCTTTAAAAATAGTCTAATCTTCTTCTTTCTGTAACTTCCTCCTGTGGCTAGGAGCACATCAATTGCTTGATGATACTATAATCAGCAATCTGACTCACAATTACAAAAAATAAACTTTCAACGATCTGGAGCTGTGGACAGTAAACTGATGCATTTAAGTAATGGTTCCAAATTTTCGCGTAATTCTTGATCTGAAGTTAACGCACTATATAACATTCTATCTCTATTCATTTTAAGTAGTCACATATAATTATTATAATACATTAAACATAATGAGACAATCAGCATCGGACTCATATTACATTCAAATCTTCTAGTCATATTTGATGACTGTCTTTTGACACCAAAAGAAGTTTTCAACATCATAAATCTTGCCAAAGTTGGAAACGTGTGCCTTAAGTCACCATGATCACTACTATGAATGGGTGTTTAACAACAATGACTACCCATGAGGGTCTCGCTCGGTAGGCACCATGATCACAGGCACTCAGTGACATAACACATTTATATATGATTTTTTTTCCGAGACAAGTAGTTATTTCCTTAAAGGGGCATTAGCAGCATGTTCACCGATTTGACTCAAATTCTCATATTTGATTTAGAACATACTAAAACGTATATTCAAATAACAAAAAAGTCTGAAAAAAAACAATTAACAATACATGTACTCGATAATATATATAAGCATTCCTAACGCGAAATCGCGAAAACGCAAAATCGCGAAAAGGCGAAAAAGAGAAATTGCGGAAAGGCGAAAACACGAAAAGGCGAAAACGCGAAGTCGAAAACGCGAAATCGGAAAGAACAAATATTTCGCGTTTTCGCCCTATAGAATATGAAGGGCTAAAACGCGAAAACGCAAAAACACGAAATGGCCTTAACCGGCCACCATGGTAATGAGATGTTGGCGTGTAGATAGACACCCATGGATTAAACAAAAACTTCTGAGAGCTAATCGAATATTTATATGCGTTCATCGTTGCAGAAATATTCAAGTTTACAAAATAAGAAAGCGCAATTCCATGACTTAAGAAAACTACGCTAAGCTATATGCACCTTATCTCTACACTAGGTTAAATTTCGGTAAAAACTTTGTCAAATAAAATCACCAAAAAAAAAATTTCCAAAATCATTTGCATTGAGTTTAGACCAGAGACATATATATGTCTCTGTTTTGCTTAATATTTTTTATAACATGACAAATTTTACAAACAGAAAATTAAAAAAATCGATGTATTTTACAATTGATATATAATTCATAGCATACGGCTTTTTCAATATGCTCTGCTCGAGGGATTATATTGGTTGAGGGTTGATGCAGAGTGTGATATTGAAAAAGCCATATCATATACACTTTATTGTAGATCATTGTATACATGCACCTCAAGTATAACTGATTCAGATGTTTTATCACGTGACATGACGTAAAACATATAAGGGGTTTGATAAAGGCCTTGTTACCGTGACTGATATCGATTACGTGACGTCATACAGATTAGGGGTTTGATAAAGCCTTTGCAACCTTGACTGATATCGATATTATCACGGTTGGCTGATACAGCATGATTGCCATCGATTGTATTACACATACAATTTACTTGTATTTATTACTAATTAGTATAGAATAAAATATTTATTTTATTTTTTTTCATTATTATTGTCCGATATTTTATCCAGTGTTGTGATAGAATTTGATATTTGGAAGAATTTCCCGGGTGCGAAATATATCGTATATTACTTTAAAACTCTGGAAATAACTTAGTAGACGGGATGATTATAACTGGGACTATTATACTAATAGTATAATATAGTCCCAGATTATAACAAGTATTAGTAATTTGGTTTGGCATACGTTTCCTGTGCAATATCTGATTAATTGTGTAATGTAGACTTTTGAATTGTTTTACATTTGTCATTTTGGGGCCTTTTATAGCTGACTTTTTTTGCATCGAAAAAAAATCTACTTTTAAAATAATCACGGACATAAGATATGACAATATAGCTGCAAAGTTATACATTTGTTTAGGACCTTGTGAAATTGATGTATCAAAAGACGAGGGTTTGTTAGTTTTACAATACAGTCAACGGGCAGAGGAGGAGAAAAAGAGTAATATTTACAATTGATCAGGGAGGTCATTTTATCTTAATTTAAATTGTCAGGGTCAACATTTTAAGAAAGATTTATGTTCGAAGTCAAAAAGGGGGCGCCTTGGATACAAATTACGGAAAGACTGATTCACAGATTGATAAACATACTAAATTAGATTACAGAAATGTCTACCTGGGACACAATGTATATAGGTCCAAGTATTAACTCTGGTCGAATACGGAAATACGGACAGTCACTTAGTTCTAACTATTCGGGTTTGACATATGGGAAATACGGATAAACATAAAAAAAAAAAAACACACACACACATTTTCATTATGCGAGTTGCCTTGTTACTTTTGAGTTCTGCAGTCAAGACTGAAATTTTAAGTATTTGAAATCAATTTCTGTTATAGGCTTTGACGAAAATTTTGGCAAGGTGGTTATATATATCATTTACTAAATTGGGTCTGGAACTATTATACTAACTAGTGAGCATAAAAGTCCCAGATTTGGTACAAGTGAATATATATATATATATAAAGCCAGTATTTGGCATTATGCATATGTAATCTAGTTCTGGTGGACAGATGTCTCCAAGGATTCTCTTTTCGCTATTTTTTATAGGGAATAATTTCAATATCTTGAAAAATCTTTTCTTAAACCATATTCGTAACTATTCACATCATGTGTGCCACATGCTTGAAGTGCTTGGGATTAATTTGCTTGCCTTCTTTAATTGGTTTGATGTATGTCTAAGCATTATAATGATTAAGATTGACAATGGTTAGGCGGAGTTTCAATCTGTAAACAATATACAGAGTGATTGGACAATGGATATTGTTATATTGTGTCCATGCAGTCAAGGTAAGAGGGATTGGGTTTACAGAATAAAGAATAATTGTCTAAAAATATAAAGAATAGAGAAAAATGAACCAAAAACATAGAGAATGGAGAATGATAGGGTGCTTAAATATAAAAATTATCCGAATAGGGAATAATGGGCCACAAATATAAAGAATAGAGAAAAATGGTATAAAAAAATAAAGAATACAGAAATGAAGGATCCCATGCATCCATACCCTCAGGTAAGTACAAGGCCTTAAATGAAATTATACTATCAAAATGACACATGACAATACGCATCCTTAGAAACTGTCCCATAACTGAACAGAATTATATAACGCTCACTGACACATGACAATACACATCCTTTCAAACTGTCCCATAACTGAACAGAATTATATAACGCTCACTGACACATGACAATACACATCCTTTCAAACTGTCCCATAACTGAACAGAATTATATAACGCTCACTGACACATTTTATTTTGCAAATAAATGTATAATAGCACAGAATAGAAATTATTTTGATTCTGCAAATTATATAAACTTAACATTATAAAAGTAATAATGCTGCAGTTCGAAAAAGTAATTTTTTCATCTCTCACTTAAATCCATCTCATTTCATTTTGATAAGGTTATGTGTTTATTTCCCAAATGATCTAAAATTGAATATTTCGACTTGTCGTGGAAGGGGCAAAAGTAAAGGGACGTGAATTGCTAATGGGACGAGTTGGTCTTAGATTTCGTCTCCGTTCCTCAAAATGTTTAAATTTAGTTCTACTTTCAATTTCAGGAACAAGTCAGTGCTTGTCAAAAATGTGTTTGATATAACGTTCCTAAGATCTTGATTACAGATTGTTTATATTCCCCTGAAATGGCGACAACAAGTTCTAGAGCTGAGGAAATTTTGAATGATGAGGCTTTAGCAGAAGAGGTTTGATTCATTATAACATAAAAAAAAGTTTATTTCTTTTATATATAAGTCTGCTCCTTCAACATGTTCAATTTCAAATTATATATTTTTCTTATAGAATATTCGAGAAGAACTGTGTGTTTCTAGGGGAAGACCATCGGCATCACAGAGATAATTAAGGTTCATATGAACCTTTTGCCTAAAATGGATGCATTTTCACATCAAAATTAACTCTGAGTACAGACAAACCTATGTATCTGGAATAAATTTAAGTCATAGCATGCTCTAGATAAGTAAAATTCAAATACAGTTTATGTTTTAGAAAATTATAAACTTAACTGGATTTTGCAGTGCACTTTTTTTTACAAACCGTCTATACTACTAAAATAACAAGGTCCAATTTGTTAACCAGCATGGCGTAAAAACAATGAATCAAAGACTTCAACTTTTATATACAACTCATATAGGACAATGGTGTTGATTAAAAATTTGTTTTCCACATAATTAATATTACCAATAATTAACAAGTTCCGGGTTGATCTGATACCAATACATCTTATCACTATTTGTCCGCCATTACTGGACATTACACAAGTTCCCGTAAAATTTTGACGTCATAATAGAAAATATCTGACGCCACAATGGAAAAGTGATTGTTGTATGACGTCAAAAGTTCGAGCGGGACTGATTCTCGGGTCAAGCGGGATTAGCGATAAGGTGTATAGTATATGTCACATGTAGTTTCCGGTTGCAACACATGACAACTAAGTTGAAACGTTCGAAGCCAGGAAAAACTCTTTTAAGTAAGAAGACAACTCAGTTAAACTAAAAAGTAATGCTTACAGTGTAGGGTTGCACTGTTGACCAACACATGCCCCAGTTTTAGCTGAATGAGCAGGAAAAATTCAGACACCAAAAGGTTTTGGGGACATGAATTGTTTTATAGATTTAATATTTTGAAAATGAAATAATAAGGGGATTATAACTTAATAAACAATCAGATATAACTTAAATAAATAAGTTTCACATTTATAATATTTTTTTCTTAATATTACACATTTCATCAGAAGATTTCTCACTAGATTGCAGCAACCGTCAAAATGAAAATCGTCAAAATTTTTCGTATAATTAGTAGGACCCAAAACTGTGAAATTTTAGACCTGCCAAAATAACCCGCTATAAGGTGATACTGTTGTCCCTCTGCTGGTCATTATGTGAATAATGTCATTGTTGTATGACGAGGTTAACCGAAGTTCACAGTCACTAAATCTCATCAAACTTTAATATGGTATCAGAAGCTCCTTATTGTTTTTGATTATGCTCACTTTTATCATTCCACAGTTACAAGATCACGGGCTATTACAAGTGTTTCATAATAGTACTAGACAGAGTTGGATTTTAAACATGCTACTTCTCCCTATGATTCTGAAGAATTGTGAGCCCTGCTGAAGGGAATATCTAGTAGAAATGAACAAAGAAGAGAGGGAAAACTCAACATAAAGTATAACGTAAAAGCAGCAAAACAGTTTTATTTAATTTTTTAAAACCCGTTTTATAATATAACTTACTATTATTACTAGGGAAGGGGTTATAATCATGTGATAATTACAGAATTGGAAATTATCAAATCGAAAGGGAGCTCTTTCTTTTAGTCAATCCTAATGTTTTGTTAAAATTTCATGAGGATTGGTTAAAACAAATTGTGGCTTTTGAACAAGTATTGGCATATGGACGGACAGACTATGGTATACCATGATGTGTACAAACATGTACATTTTTAAGACGATTTACCTTATTGGCTTTTACAATTTCTTTTTATGTGCAATTATTGTATGCATTGAAATAAAGTTTTAATTATTTTTTAGGAACTGCTAGATGAACTAGAAAATGCAGAAATTCCTGCCTATATAAGAGAAGCACGTCTTGATCAGTTGAAAAAACATGCTGTTAATCTTAATGATATGAAAGAAAAACAACATGGGCAATATACGTAAGGATAATATTATAGCATACAAACCAGAAATGAATATGTCTTCAATTTAATTTTATGCATTTACAATATTGGACAATTTAATTCATTCAGCTTTGTTCATGGTTTAAACTAATTGAAATATAATTTTACTTCACAAGTCCTTCACTCATGAAAATCATGCGGATTTACAATTTTTCTGACCTGGTATGTCCAAAAAGAACATCCAATTTTTGTAAGCTGAGCCATCAGTATCTCATTGCAAAAGTTGAAGGGAGTAATAAAAGTGGATACATGAGATTTTCGGGTTTAAATAAATTTAATTTTAATTGAGAAAAAAAAAATAAGAATTTAAGTTTTGAGTGAGTTATATTAATGTAATACAAAAGTGTATACAGAGTGCATGCAAGAGTCAGGTATAAAAGATGTTTTTGATATAAACAAAATGATAGACAAATGCCATCTTAAGGTTTCAATAGTTGTGTCAAAATTGAATGTGTTGTCTTTATTAGCAAGTCCCAACAACATTAAACAAATATACCAAAATAAAGAAAATGCTTAGAGCTATCTTATATTTTATTTCATAAGACTCATACTGCAGTTATTGTGTTGCCATTTACTCATAGCTACTGACCATTCTGTTTTCATTAAATAGCCTCATCTCAACTTCATTACAGTTATAAAGTATAATCTTTATTAGGGCAATCAAGATCCCATCATTTAGATATTTATCTTATAATTAGTATGCTCGAAGATTTTTTCCCATAGTGATGAATTAAAGGCATTGATATTGTTTTGTTTTTTTTCTTTTGAAGGGATCCATAAAAAAATTTTATCTTGCCAAAATACAAATTTTTTTATGGACAAATAACTGGATAAAGAAATGATAGAGCTGATGACTTCTTTGTTTGTCATGAGTCTCACAACGCTTTTAACTGTATATTGCAGCAGTTCTAATGAAAAAAAATAAATTTGGACAAATTTCAGAAATTTACAAAATAGTTTTCAAAAACCTTTTACCTTTTCCATCTCTGTATGTTATTAGTAATTGGATACACTATCTCTCTCTAACTTAATTCTTAGCTACTGTATTGCATCAGCATACCTTTGATGTGACATAACACAAGTAAATAGTTTGATGTTATGAGTGAGTGAGGGTCGTAATAGGGGTACCTTCATGACGAAGAATGATAAAAAATCTTTGTTAAATGATGTTAACAATATTTTTTGGTGAATGAAGAATAAAATTACATTTTCTTTATTAGGATAAAAAAAATAGACTGATTTTGACGACTGATGTTAAATTCTTTCCAAAAAAAATGGTAACAGATGATTATTTGAGACCTCTGAAGAATCACGATAACCAATTGACGATAATGATAGCCGAAAATGACCGTTGACGCCTGACAGTAAAGGGAATTACTACCCTCATGAGTGTTTGACATGACGATAAATGTCCCATATGCCATCAGTAAATATTTATACACAATTTTTGTAGTCTTAGTTTTTGTAGTTTGCTTCCTTTTACATTTTCAGAAGAAAATAGTGCAGGTAGATAAAAAATAAAATATTTAATGCTGAAATTTTGTTTACTAAATGTTTATATTTAAATATAAAGTTCTGTTGCCACAACTGCAGTTATTCTCAGAAAACTTTAAAAAAAAGTAATTACCTGTATAGGTTGCAATTCTGTAAATACAGACAATGCAATTTCCCATAGGAACTCCCTTTGCGGCTAAAACTGTGACACTTTTACTATGAAGTTTCGTGAAAAATAATATCCCAGAACGGAAAGTATATATGCACTACTATTTTATTCAAAGGTCAAAATATAGGGCTGTGCGGCATATTTTCAACATTTATATGCCCTGAACTTCTAAGAGTTTAAACTTATACTAAAATTCTATACTACCCTTACCTCCATTTTTGGACCTCCTAAGAATTAAAATTTAGCCGCTACCATGTTTATCTATACTGGTTACATTCCCAAGTGATGTCTCTATGAGATGAAACACAGAGATCATCAATGGGAACCAGTACGTTAACAAATTAACATACCTATGAATATTAAATATCTCCCCAAAAGAGGCGTGGTTTGAGAAACAGCTGTATTTACAAAGTGCAACCTATACAAACATTTATTCAAATAGAAAACTCTCTAAAAACACTTTTTCTCACAACAATACTTATTTATCAGAATTATAGCCTTAAAGAAATCACTGCATATACTCTAAGTCTCCTTTTACAGTACATTTTATACCCCTACCCCTGTTTCAATTTTTTAAAGATTTTGAAAACATGAATTGTCTAAAACCTGTTTGAAACTATTCTGATAACAAATTGAAAGCATTTTAGAATACTATAAATGTTTTGTTTAGTAGTTAAGCATTCCAACATTCAAGATTATACAAAGTATCAAATCCTGCCTGTGTCTCCAGTCCACATCTTACTGTATGCCTATTTGTCAATGAAAGTTCACAATTTCTGCCTCAAATGGTCAGTTTAGAATTCTTGTCACAACAGTATCATCCCTAACCATATATCTAACATAAGTTAGTTAATATATGTCCTAGAAGTGTTTAAACAAAGGCATATTTGCAAAAGTTGTATTTATGAAGATATCAGTCTGGTGCATAAATTCACTAAAAGTTTCATTGAAATGACTGCTTACATCTGATTTTTGCATAACTTCCTAGCACAGTTATTGTTTACTTTATAAAAGACCTTTAAAATAAAAAAATCATAGCATTTACAAGTTAAATTATCTGTTTTATGACTCAGGGGTAGGCATTTTCCTCTGTTTTTTGCCCCTGGGGCCTCACATTTCCTAATTTTTTTCCCTGTTTCTAGCAATGTGAAATATTTACTACATATTAAGGATAGAACACACTATTGTAAGTTTTACTGAGGTCTTTTTGTAATTCTAGCTTGTACTTTTTTATGCCGCAGTCACAAAAAAGCACATTTAGGCGTTACGGCTTACTTTTGGGTTATCGACAGGACAAAAACACCCCACCAGAAATATTTAGGAAGGATCAATGAGTTGCAATTACTGCGAAGAGTAAATATAAGCACTTCTAAACAATTTAAATTACAAATAGGCATATATTATGAATTTATTTTGAATTCAGGGCTTTAAGTAAACCATGCATACTTTAAACTGTGAATTTATGCTGAGTCATCATAGTTAAGGCCCAGGATTTTCTCAATCTTCATGAAATATTTATAAAACTTCATATTTGAGTTAAATTCTTAAAATCTCTGAGATAAACCAGATTTTGTGAAATTCTGTATGTTCTATTTTTTAACCCTATATAGGTTGCAATTCTGTAAATACAGACAATGCAATTTCCCATAGGATAAAACTGTGACACTTTTACTATGAAGTTTCGTGAAAAATAATATCCCAGAACGGAAAGTATATATGCACTACTATTTTATTCAAAGGTCAAAATATAGGGCTGTGCGGCATATTTTCAACATTTATATGCCCTGAACTTCTAAGAGTTTAAACTTATACTAAAATTCTATACTACCCTTACCTCCATTTTTGGACCTCCTAAGAATTAAAATTTAGCCGCTACCATGTTTATCTATACTGGTTACATTCCCAAGTGATGTCTCTATGAGATGAAACACAGAGATCATCAATGGGAACCAGTACGTTAACAAATTAACATACCTATGAATATTAAATATCTCCCCAAAAGAGGCGTGGTTTGAGAAACAGCTGTATTTACAAAGTGCAACCTATAAAGGTATTTGTATATTTTATTTTGGCATTTCACATCTTTTTTCACTGTAGTTACTGTCATTGTATATAAATTATTACAAAATCGTCACTTTTGGTATAAAATATGTATCACACATGTAACTGTATTTAAGAATACCTTTTACCAGTATATCTTTTTTTCCAGAGAAATAACAGAAGAGAAGAAGTTTTTAGACCTCACGACAACAGAAAAGAAATGTATCGTTCATTTTTATCATTCAGATTTTAGAAGATGTGCAATTATGGATACACACTTAGAAGTATGTTGTAACTTATTGTAGCTTGTACATGTGCAAAAACACAACCCTGGTCTGTCTATCATTTCATCTATATTTAGTAAATAATTATACCCCACACAACGAGTTGCGAAGGGTATAATGTTTTTGACCTGTCCATTCGTCAGTCCGTCAGTCCTGTTTCTTGTCATCGCAACTTCTCTCAAACCACACAACAGAATTTCATGAAACCTTTTTAGATAATAAGGACATACTATGTAGTTTTGCATATCGACAGGAAATTAATGTTCAATTCTTTTTCTAGGAGTTACGCCCCTTTGAACTTATTTACTTTAATGTACTACTGCAACAGTTTGTCATCGCAACTCCTCTCAAACCACACAACAGAATTTCATGAAACCTTTTCAGATAATAAGGACATACTACGTAGATGTGCATATAGACAGGAAATTACGATTCAATATTTTTTCCAGGAGTTACGCCCCTTTGAACTTATTTTCCAAATATACTACTGCAACCTTTTGTCATCTCAACTCCTCTCAAACCACACAACAGAATTTCATGAAACCTTTTCAGATAATAAGGACATACTACGTAGATGAGCATATCGACAGGAAATTACGATTCAATTTTTTTTCCAGGAGTTACGCCCCTTTGAAGTTATTTGCCCAATATACTACTGCAACCTTTTGTCATCGCAACTCCTCTCAAACCACACAACAGAATTTCATGAAACCTTTTCAGATAATAAGGATATAGTATGTAGATGTGCATATCGACAGGCAATTACGATTCAATTTTTTTATTCAGGAGTTATGCCCCTTTGAACCCAATATACTACTGCAACCTTTTGTCATCGCAACTCCTCTCAAACCACACAACAGAATTTCATGAAACCATTTCAGATAATAAGGACATACTTCGTAGATGTGCATATCAACAGGAAATTAGGATTCAATTTTTTTTCCAGGAGTTGCGCCTCTTTGAACTTATTAGCCCAATACACTACTGCAACCTTTTGTCGTCTCAACTCCTCTCAAACCACACAACAGAATTTCATGAAACTGTGTAGATAATAAGGACATACTATGTAGATGTGCATATTGACAGGAAATTATGATTCAATTTTTTTTTCTGATACAATTTTTTTTTCTTACACTTATTTTATTTCTCCAATGACAATGTGGGGATGTGGGGTATGTGAACGCGCTCACTAAGGTTCTTTCATTCATTTTGAAACCCATGGTTGTATTTCAATAATATTTCACCACTTCAATTTCCATTGATCTTCAATTTTTGGGTTTCCTTGACTTATCTTACTTACTTGAATGATACTAAAAAACTAGAACTCTGAAAACACATGACCGATATTTCATTGCTACAATCCTCTTACATTGTACAACATAGTTCATACATATAGCGATGATCACAGCATTAAATTTTACCGTTTCATTCAATTGGTCTTATATTGAAACCAATGACCTATTTTTTGCACCCAAGTGACTTAATAAGGCCAATATTCAGAAAACCAATGATCTTTCACTATAATAGTAAAGTACAAAATTTTTTTATTTCTTAAAACGTTTTGGGTTGTAGTATACTGCTTTTTAGCTCACCTGGCCCGAAGGGCCAATTGAGCTTTTCTCATCACTTGGCGTCCATCGTCCGGCGTCGTCCGTCATCGGCGTTAACTTTTTACATTTTGAACTTCTCCTAGAGAACCACTGAATGGAATGAAACCAAACATGGCATGAATGTTCCTTATGAGGTGCTGACCAAGTGTTGTTACTTTGTAGCGGATCCATCTTCCAAGATGGCCGCCAGTGGGGGACTTAGTTTAACATAGGACCCTATGGGAAATACATACAAATGTCTTCTTTTAGAGAACCACTGAATGGAATGAAACCAAACATGGCATGAATGTTTCTTATGAGGTGCTGACCGAGTGTTGTTACTTTGAAGCCGATCCATAATCCAAGATGGCCGCCAGCGGGGGACTTAATTTAACATAGGACCCTATGGGAAATACATACATATGTCTTCTTTTAGAGAACCACTGAATGGAATGAAACCAAACATGTTATGAATGTTCCTTATGAGGTGCTGACCGAGTGTTGTTACTTTGAAGCCGATCCATAATCCAAGATGGCCGCCAGCAGGGACTTAGTTTAACATGGGACCCTATGGGAAATACATACAAATGTCTTCTTTTAGAGAACCACTGAATGGAATGAAACCAAACATGGCATGAATGTTTCTTATGAGGTGCTGACCGAGTGTTGTTACTTTGAAGCCGATCCATAATCCAAGATGGCCGCCAGGGGGGGACTTAGTTTAACATAGGACCCAATGGGAAATACATACAAATGTCTTCTTTTAGAGAACCATTAAATGGAATGAAACCAAACATGGTATGAATGTTCCTTATGAGGTGCTGACTGAGTGTTGTTACTATGAAGCTGATCCATAATCTAAGATGGCCGCCAGCAGGGGACTTAGTTTAACATTGGACCCTATGGGAAATACTATAAGTTATATGGGTTGCTACTGACCCCCTATGGATTCATAGATGGTTAGTAAAATCCATAGGGGGTGAGGCCGAAGGCCAAATCCCCTATGGATTTTATTTACCCTCTATGGTCTGTAGGAGGTCAGTAGTGAACCATATAACGAATTTATCGCACACGATACTTTTTCTGCAGCGTTTTGTAGAAAAATATATATATAAACAATGAAATACAAAAACATCAATAGATGACATCACCATTAACAGTAGCCGTGACGTCATGAACCCACTATGAAATTTACTAACCCCCTACAGATCCATAGGGGGTCACCATGTGACGGCGTTAAACCAATCACAACGTAATAATTTACCCGCGGTGTGATAAATACAAATGTCTTCTTTTAGAGAACCACTCAATGGAATGAAACCAAACATGGCATGAATGTTTCTTATGAGGTGCTGACCGAGTGTTGTTACTTTGAAGCCGATCCATAATCTAAGATGGCCGCCTGCAGGGGACTTAGTTTAACATGGGACCCTATGAGAAATACATACAAATGTCTTCTTTTAGTGAACCACTGAATGGAATGAAACCAAACATGGCATGAATGTTCCTTATGAGGTGCTGACCGAGTGTTTTTACTTTGAAGCCGATCCATAATCCATGATGGCTGCCAGATGGGGACAATGTTTAACAAAGGACCCTATGGACAATACATACAAATGTCTTCTTTTAGAGAACCACAAACTGAATGGATTGAAACCAAACATGGCATGAATGTTCCTTATGAGGTGCTGACCAAGTGTTGTTACTATGAAGCTGATCCTTCATCCATGATGGCCGCCAATGGGGGGACTTCCTTTAACATAAGATCCTATTGGAAATACATACAAATGCTTCTTCTAGAGGTGCACTGAATGGAATGAAACCAAAACATGGCATAAATGTTTCTTATGAGGTGCTGATTAAGTGTTGCTACTTTGTTGCCGATTTACTGTTCAAGATGGCCACCAGGATTTTTTATTAAATTACAGGACCAATATTAAACCAAATTTGGCCTCACTCATTATTAGGGTATCTGTTATGATTTTAATCTATTTTTACATGATTTCCAAAACCAAAGTAGAATCAGGTGAGCGACACAGGCTCTTGAGAGCCTCTAGTTCTGTTGACCAGTTAGAATCTCTGCTTTGTTGTTCAGGGTTGTTATTATATCCATTGTCATTTGTGTTTCCGGATGCTTACTCCATACTTCATGAACTTTGTATTGGATTGCAACATTACTAGGATATATGGACACATATAATGAGAGAAGGATCCCTATTGATTTTGAAGTCAATATGTCCACAGTCAAGATTATAGTTACTAAAAATAGCCAGAAAAGTTTTTTTTTATGCTGAATCAAATATTTCATACGAGATTGCAACCATAATGGAAATTATGTAACATGATGAATATCTATAGTGATTATTAGTTCACTTCATCCAAGGTTAAGGTCATATTTACTAAAAGTTCACAGTACTTTATGCAGTAAAGGGGTTTCTAGATGCTTTAGCGAATGCTTCATATAGGATTGCAATCTCACTTGATATATGGTTAAATGTAATGAGAGAAAAATCCCTATTGATTTTGAGGTCACCATATCAAAGGTCAAGGTCAAAGCTACTACAAACATGGGGTTTCAACCCAACTCTACTTGGATATATGGTCACATATAATAAGAGGAAGGTCCCTAATGATTTTTACATCACTGGGCATAAGAATAGATGTCATAGTTACTAAAAATATCTTTGTGTAACACAATACTACTGCCTGTAATAATAAAAAAATGATGTCATCTGGTCAATTTAAGCTTTTTCCCTTTACATTGTGGTGAGGTGTATGTTCACTAAAGGTTCTTAAATTTATTAAGCAAGTAACCACAGAAAATTACAATAAAAATATGTATTGTGAACTAATTGATTAACTCAATTCGTTAAAACTTTCAACTTTAAAAGATAGATAATTGTTTTCAATGACAATTTCTCATCAAAATGTATACTGGTAGTCAATTATAGTATTCATGATAACAATTCTTTTGTTTTTCTGTTTGATTCAACAGTATTACTAAAGGTACATATTCAAAGTAATATAAAATGGGATAAAATACGTGTTTTACTCATGACAACTAGGTGATTAATAAAAAAAAAAGACATTTGGTAAATTATAATGGTTTAAAGACATTGCTGAAAATTTGACTTTTAAGTGTAAAAATATCATGACAAGAACTATCAAGTTAGAGATAAAATTGAGAATGGAAATGGGGAATGTCTCAAAGAGACAACAACCCGACCATAGAGCAGACAACAGCCGAAGGCCACCAATGGGTCTTCAATGCCTTCATTTAATTAACATGAAATATAACAACATTTTTTTGTTAGATAACAAATGGGCAATGCATTTAGTGGATTCTGTCACAGGCTCTTGTCTCTGAAAAAAACAACCTATAAACCTTAATATAAAAAAAATTAACATGGTATATAAGTAATATATTTTCAGAGACGAGTTTCTGTGTATTTTGTCTGTATTTGTTTCTGGAAAAAACAAAAGGAGACCACAATCTGTGCTTTCAGTAGATGTTTACTTTAGTTGGTATATTACAACAGTATTGGAATAAAAATAATATATATATGTACCTTCTTTTACAGGCACTTGCCAGCAAACATTTTGAGACAAAGTTTGCTAAGATCAATGTTGATATTTGCAAGTTTTTTGTCGAAAAATTAAAGATAAGAACATTGCCAGCAGTATTCTGCTTTATAAATGGACAAGTTGTTGACAAGTATGTATAATAATGTTTAACTGGATTGTTTACAGAGTATGTGTTATGAAATAAGACTCTTGTATAACTGCCAAAGCATTCTAAGATCTTCAAATGCCAATAACAAATATTTTGTGTTTCAAGATACAAGCTTAAAAGTCAGATAGACTTTGTTTTTTATTTCTCTTTGTCTCACCTGCTACAAAATTCCTGAAAGCGAGACATAGGGATTGCTTTTGCGGCTGCGGCGACAATTGTTAAGTTTTTTGCTGAAGTTAGTTTGATGGGAACTACTTGTGATAGTCATTGATATTTAATATAAAGTTGCATTACTATCAGTACATATCAGTTTGACGACTATCTTGAGGCCCTGCCCCCTAACTCATAGTCCAATGACTTTTAATTAATAACCATTTTTATACGACCGCAAAAAAATTTTGCGATCGTATATTGGTATGACGTTGGAGTCGTCGTCGTCCGAAGACACATTGGTTTTCGCACTCTAATTTTAGTTTAAGTGTATGGATCTCTTTGAAATTTTACCATAAGGTTCAATACCACAAAAGGAAGGTTGGGATTGATTTTGGGGGTTATGGTACCAACAATTTAGGAATTAGGGGCCAAAAAGGGGCCAAAAATAAGCATTTTTGTAACTTCCAGACATAACTTGTGTGTTAGTGTATGGATCTCTCTGACATTGTACCACAAGGTTCCATATCACAAAGGGAATGCTGGGATTGATTTTGGGGGTAATTGCCTCAAAATTTTATAAATTAGTGGCCAAAAAAGGGGCAAAAAACAAGCATTTTTCTGGTTTCATGACAATAACTTGTGTGTAAGTGTATGGATCTTTCTGAAATTGTACTACAAGGTTCCATATCACAAAAGGAAAGCTGGAATTGAGTTTGGGGGTAATTGCCCAAAACGTTTGGGAATAAGGGGCCAAAAATAAGCATTTTTCTAGTTTCCAGACAATAACTTGTGTTCAAGTGTATGGATCTCTCTGAAATTGTACTGCAAGGTACCAAACCACAAAGGGAAGGCTGGGATTGAGTTTGGGGGTGATGAATCATAAGGGGGTTCCAAAAATTTTGGGGGGAGGGATTTTTTTTTCCCCTTTTTTTCCTTAATTTTTCTTTAAAATTTTCCATTTTAAATTGGTTATTTCTGATTTATATATAAAAGCAAATAATAATGATATGGTTTGAATAGGTAAATTAAAATTTTTTAAGTTCTTAGACCACATTCACTCTGTGTCAGAAACCTATGCTGTGTCAAATATTTAATCACAATCCAAATTCAGTGCTGTATCAAGCTTGAATGTTGTGTCCATACTTGCCCCAACTGTTCAGATTTCGACTTCTGCGGTCGTATCAAGCTGCGCCCAGCGGAGCATTTTATGCAATGTTAAGTTTTCTGCTTAAGTTAGTTCGATAGGATCTAATTATACCCCATGCAACAAATGTGCATATCGACAGGAAATTACGATTCAATTTTTTTCCCAGGAGTTACGCCCCATTGAACTTATTTGCCCAATATACTACTGCAACCTTTTGTCATCGCAACTCCTCTCAAACCACACAACAGAATTTCATGAAACCTTTTCAGATAATAAGTACATACTATGTAGATGTGCATATCGACAGGAAATTATGATTCAATTTTTTTTCCAGGAGTTAACCCCCTTTGAACTTATTTGCTCAATATACTACTGCAACCTTTTGTCATCCCAACTCCTCTCAAACAACACAACAGAATTTCATGAAACTATGTAGATAATAAGGACATACTATGTGGATGTGCATATTGACGGGAAATTATGATTCAATTTTTTTTTCTGATACAATTTTTTTTTCTTACACTTATTTTATTTCTCCAATGACAATGTGGGGACGTGTGGTATGTGAGCACGCTCACTAAGGTTCTTTCATTGTGATAGATCAATGATATTTTGTATGAAGTTGCATTACTATCAGTACATATCAGTTTGATAACTAATTTGAGGCACTCCCCCCTTGGAAATGGTCCAGTGACTTTGAATAGATTAGCAATTTTCAATGTTAAGTTTTCTGCTTAAGTTAGTTTGAAAAGATCTACTTGAGATAGATCAATGATATTTTGTATGAAGTTGCATTACTTTCAGTTCATATCAGTTTGACGACTATTTCGAGGCCCTGTCCTCTAGGTCATGGTCCAGCCACTTTCAATTAATAAGCATTCTTTAATGTTAAGTTTTCTGCTTAAGTCAGTTTGATGAGAACTACTTGTGATAGATCCATGATATTTTGTATATAGTCACATTACTATCAGAACATATCATTTTGAAAACTATTTTGAAGCACTGCCCCCTTGGACATGGTCCAGTGACTTTGAATAAATTAGCAATTTTCAATGTTAAGTTTTCTGCTTAAGTTAGTTTGATAGGATCTACTTGTGATAGATCAATGATATTTTGTATAAAGTTGTATTACTATCAGTACATATCAGACTCAGTATGGTGACTATTTTGAGGCCCTGTTCCCTTGGACATGGTTCAGTGACTTTGAATTAATTAGCAATTTTCAATGTTAAGTTTTCTGTTAGATTGATAGGAACTATACTTACAACGTTATTTTGTATAAAGTTACATTACTGTCTGTACGTCTTAGTTTGTCAACCATTTTCAGGCCTTGCCCACTAGATAATGGTCCAGTGACTTAATTAATAAGCAATGTTGCTGTCCATCAGATTGTCTTTTTTTAAATTTTATGCCGACAGGCAAGATATATCTCTGTGTCAACTTTATTTACAACTTTTTATGCCCCTGTTGCTAGAGGAAGAAGTCCATTGATATAAGGGTCAATAAGTCAAATGTCAAGGTTGCTGTTACTAAAAAAACAGAAAAAAATTGTAAAAATGGTTGAACAGAGTTTCCTTTGCTTGCTTGATTGGAATGAAACTTATGCAGATGGCAGATATATGGAAGGGGAATAACCTAAATATTTTTTTAAGAATGGGTTTAAGGATGATACCCACTAAATTGTAACACATTTGTAAAGGTGAAAAATTAGCAATAATAACACGTTTATTTGTTCTTCCAAGTATTCACCATTGCCAGCATACTCTCAATTCAAATGTATACTATTTACTTAAGAATTATGTATAAAGCATGTGTTTTATCAAAATGCATTTACTTATAATGTTTTCTAGAATACACTAAATAAGATAACTTTCAATATATTTTTTTCCTACAGGGTTACAGGTTTTGAAGAGTTGGGGAATACTGATGATTTCCAGACCAGTACACTAGAAAATCTGTTAGGCATATCAGGTAAAATATCTTATGCAGATCAGAGTCTTCCCAAACCATTTTAAAAAACACTATTAATAAATTGTTTTTAAGTATGTACAATTTAACTTGTTGTTCAGTTATAATCAAATTCAAAATTAATCATACTGGTATCAAAATTTTGTATCAATTTTGTTTTGCAGAAAAGACTAGTAAAACTTGTCTTACGTTTAAATAATTAGTTAACTACAGATGTGCTCAATAATATGACGCATATTAATTGAAGCAGAATGATCAGTATCAACTAGATATTGACAAGTGGACCTTCGTACAAGCTTATTTGATCCTACAATATGTACTATCTGGGGTAAAACTTCAAACATTACTGTTTAATTCACTCAGACATGAAAAATTGGTCATGACATGACTATAACAAGATATATATGCATGCAGAATAAGAAGACGTCACATCTTACAGTTTTTAAGTGAAGAACTCTCAAGTGCATGCAGAAAAACACAAAGACAAGTACAATCCCTTCCTTTATTTGCTTCACAATGAAAACATTGCAAAAAATATCTGAATATGAATTACTGCAATAGTCTCCCTCAACTTGTTGCACCAAATAAAAGTCTATATATATATATTTGCTTCCGCAAATTTGCAGATTTAACATTGTTGTGCTGATATTTAGAGTAATGAATATAATATGTGTTTTCAGCCGTGTATCACCTTCACTGGTGATCCAATGGATGGATCTGTCGTAGAGTTGTTATATATATATTGAAATCCGGATATGGTGTACTAATTTTTGCACCTTTTGTTTGCAGTTTACCATCTTTTCCGCAAGTTTATTGTTTTCTGTTTGGTATTAAATTAATAGTTAAGATCCATTTTGTTACATCTGGTGATCCGTTTATTTGGCAAGAGCGATGGTATAACATGCTAAAGTGCGATGATGTAAAGAAAATGGAGTTCAGGCAATGGTTTTTATACGACCGCAAAAATTAAAAATTTTTTGGTCGTATATTGGTATGACGTTGGCGTCGTCGTCGTCGTCCGAAAAAACACATTGGTTTTCGCACTCTAACTTTAGTTTAAGTGAATGGATCTCCATGAAATTTTACCATAAGGTTCAATACCACGAAAGGAAGGTTGGGATTGATTTTGGGGGTTATGGTACCAACAGTTAAGGAATTAGGGGCCAAAAAGGGGCCAAAAATAAGCATTTTTGTAACTTCCAGACAATAACTTGTGTGTAAGTGTATGGATCTCTCTGACATTTTACCACAAGGTTCCATATCACAAAGAGAAGGCTGTAATTGATTTTGGGGGTAATTGCCTCAAAATTTTAGGAATTAGGGGCCAAAAAAGGGGCAAAAAACAAGCATTTTTCTAGTTTCATGACAATAACTTGTGTGTAAGTGTTTGGATATTTCTGAAATTGTACTACAAGGTTCCATATCACAAAGGGAAAGCTGGAATTGAGTTTGGGGGTAATTGCCCGAAACGTTTAGGAATTGGGGGCCAAAAAGGGGCCAAAAATAAGCATTTTTCTAGTTTCCAGACAATAACTTGTGTTCAAGTGTATGGATCTCTCTGAAATTGTACTGCAAGGTACCATACCACAAAGGGAAGGCTGGGATTGAGTTTGGGGGTGATGAATCATAAGGGGGTTCAAAAAATTTGGTGAGGGGGGGGATTTTTTTTTTTTTTTTTTTTTCTTTTTTTCCTTTTTTTTTTTCTTTTAAAATTTTCCATTTTAAGTTGGTTATTTCTGATTTATATTTAAAAGCATATAATAATGATATGGTAGGAGATACCCACCAAACAGGATGTGTAAATTATTATATAATAAGTATTGTGCAATAGCAAGAAATTTTCAATTGCACAGTATTGCTCAATAGCAAGAAATCTTCAATTGCACAGTATTGCGCAATAGCAAGAAATCTTCAATTGCTAAGTATTGCGCAATAGCAAGAAATATCCAAATAGCACAATATTGCGCAATAGCAAGAAATTGTCATTTGTACAGTATTGCGCAACAGCAAGAAATATTCAATTGCACAGTATTGTGCAAAAGAAGATACTTCGTATAAATTGCTTATTTCTTGATCAATTTCAATGGGGTTTTATTCTTGAATTCTTGGGGTTCTTTAATATGCTGAATCTAACCGTGTATAAAGTTTTTGGATTTTGGGCCCCGTTTTTAAATTGGTCCACATTGAGGTCCAAAGGGTCCAAAATTTAACTTTGTTTGATTTCATCAAAAATTGAATTATTGGGGTTCTTTGATATGCCGAATCTAACCGTGTATTTAGATTCTTAATTTTTGGTTCCGTTTTCAAATTGGTCTACATTAAGGTCCAAAGAGTCCAAAATTAAACTTAGTTTGATTTTAACAAAAATTGAATTTTTAGGGTTCTTTGATATGCTGAATCTAAACATGTATTTAGATTTTTGATTATGGGCCCAGTTTTCAAGTTGGTCCAAATCTGGTCCAAAATTAAACTTTGTTTGATTTCAACAAAAATTGAATATATGGGGTTCTTTGATATGCTGAATCTAACCATGTATTTAGATTTTTGATTTTTGGGCCCCGTTATCAACTTTGTCTACATTGAGGTCAAAAGGGTCCAAAATTAAACTTTGTTTGATTTCATCAAAAATTGAATTCTTGGGGTTCTTTGATATGCTGAATCTAACCATGTATTTAGATTTTTGATTTTTGGGCCCCGTTATCAACTTTGTCCACATTGAGGTCAAAAGGGTCCAAAATTAAACTTTGTTTGATTTCATCAAAAATTGAATTCTTGGGGTTCTTTGATATGCAGAATCTAACCATGTATTTAGATTTTGGATATTGGACCATAATAGGTGAATGTCCAATTTAAAATTTTTAAGTTCTTAGACCACATTCATTCTGTGTCAGAAACCTATGCTGTGTCAAATATTTAATCACAATCCAAATTCAGAGCTGTATCAAGCTTGAATGTTGTGTCCATACTTGCCCCAACTGTTCAGGGTTCGACCTCTGCGGTCGTATCAAGCTGCGTCCTGCGGAGCATTTTATTGTTTGTTGCTGTGTTCCTATATGTTTTCTTTACAAATCAAGCCGGTGTCATTCTCTTTTGAATTGTTTTACACTGGTCACTGTGTGGCCTTATATATACATGTAGTTAGCTTTGCAGCGTTTGCCAAGGCTCCACTTTGAAGGCTGTACGGTTATTAGTTGCATACATCAATGACATTTGGTCTTGGGTGGATAGTTGTCGCATTGACAATACCGCATCCTCTTATTTTTATTTAAAGTACGATAGTTATTTTAAAAGTGTAATAGTTACATATTGCAGTAGCTAGTATATACTTTAAAAACCTGTAATTCAGTGTGGTAGTCGTTTGTTGCTTTATTTCATATTTGTTTTTCTTATATTGTTTTGTATAGAAATCAGGCTGTTTTTTCTCGTTTGAATTGTTTTTGCACTGGTCTTTTTGAGGCCATTTGGTCTTTATATAATACTATGTGGTTTTAGCCTATGCCATGCGTTAACCTATAGTTGTTTACATGAATGACATTTGGTCTTGGATGGAGAGTTGTCTTCTTGGCAATCATATAATGATGCTAAACCTATTGTCGTGAGGTTACTGTCTAGTTGACGAATATCCATCCCTTTAACGTAAATGACATGGGATTACAAACGTAGAAGGAGTTTCTAAATCACATTTTTTGGCAACTCCAGCTGTGTTGATCAAATTTCTTTTAACAAATAAAGTTAACCTCTTCCAGCGCTGACCAAAAATAATCCGGATTGAGATCATTTGTTTCTCTTTTTTTATCCTTGTCTAATAAAAACCCTTCATCTGGACAAACATTCTCGTTTTCCGGCTTGTCCATTTTTGTTTGTACAAACGGCATGTGACATTTGCTATCAAACGCTATTTTGTGGAAAAATGTACTTCAGCGTATTGAAGCCTCAGACTTTAGCGTATTCCATTGAATAGCCCAGATCATCCCACTTTAGCGTATCAAACCATCGCACTTTAGCGTAGACCATCGCACTTTAGCGTGACCATTGCATTTTAGCATCCCCATCCCACTTTAGAGTCCTACATATATATATAAGATTATCCTGTTTTACAAAAGTAATATATTTGAAAAAATGCTGAACATGTCTGTTACAATTTTGTCTTGCTTTGACAAACTGAAACTAAGGCGTGCTGTTTCCAGCGACGGCACAACAGTTGTTAGTCTGTGATAGGTCATGTTAAGTTAAAACAACCACTAATACTACATCAATGATTTTTGGTAGGCATTTGCTTGGAGATTATTTGCCCCACCCTCAGGCTCTTAGTCAGGGTTCATTAACTCTGAAATCTTTCCATAATTTTAAATGTTAAATTTTTCGATAAGGTCCGTTAAAGAAGAACTCCAATGGTACGTTGATGATATTTGGTAGGCAGTTGAATTAGCATTGGCACATCTCATTTCTATTGAGATAATTTGAAATCAGTTATTGAAAGGCTGGTTTAAATCTGAATCAAATTAAAAGAAAAAAAAACATTTGCAATTTCATTCAGAATTAAAAGGTAATAAACTGTTGACACAAAGATATGTTTCACCTGTGTAACATGTAAAACATACAGATGTCATTGGACCATGGTTTGGGCCTAATAATCTCCATGGAAATGAGATGTGCCAATGTTAATACAACTGCCGGCCAAATATCATAGACTTGCCATTATATGGTCCCTTAAACTGACCGTAACATAAACTTAAATAATCCTTGACACGTCACTAAAATATATTAGAAAAAGCACGCTTCTGCGACTTCAAAGTAAGACAAAACAATTCAATGGTACTATAAGTATTTTCTTATTAGAATTATAGTTCCACAAAAGATCAGTATGTATTGCTCAAATGGTTTATACATGATAATACAGCTATTGCTGTCACATTCTGCTATTTTAGAAGAGTAAAAACAAGGAAATGATTCAACTAATTTATACATTTATTTTCAGGTGTTATACAGTGTACACAGGAAGAAAAAACTAAAAAGACTATCTTTGGTTTTAAAAAATCCAGTAAAAATGATGACAGTGACAGTTGTGAAGATGATGAAAATGATTGGAATTAAATTATTGTGTTCAAATAGAAATAGTTTTGAAAATCCATTGTGCACCTACTATTATGGAACTGTTTGAGCAACTTTTCCTCATTAACATAGGAATTGTTTAGGAGAATTAACAAAAGACTGATTCAGTGTAATCAACATGATCAGATCATACAGTTTTCAACCAAGATGATTTTTTCACATATTTAAATGCTCATTATAGACCATTCACCATTAAAAAAAAAATCATATGCAACTCAGCTATTTGAGAATTTGATTCATTCATTAGTATCATATTTCCATATACTGTACATTCAGAAATTATTGTGTGCATTTTTTATTGCCATTTTTGTAGAATGGAGAAAAATGTGAGATTAATTATTGCGATTGCAGGAAAATCTGCATACAGAAATATGCATCAGATATCACAATGCAAGTTACTCGCCCAGTCGCGTTAATAAAAACCTCGCAATAATTTCTGAATTTACAGTATTTTAAATAAAATTAAGAAGATATGGTATGATTGCCTAACTATCCACAGAGACCAAATGCCATAGATCTAATCAACTATAGGTCACCCAACAGCCTTCAACAATGAGCAAGACCTAGATCATATATATTAGACAATTCTGTGTTGTTTAAGAAACATTCTGTGCAACCTGGTCATAAAAACTGATTATAGACCACTGACATCCACTTCCTTATACATGCAGCATTAATAATGCTCTAAGCAGGTGAACCTGGTCTTGATACCTAGTTTTAATTGGTTAAAAATTCTGCCATATTTATCATTTAATTTGTGTTTGCCCTTTAACAGTTAAGTTCAATCCTTATTTATTAATATGCCTGAAAAGATATGGATGGATACATCGATAAGAGAGCAATAGAAAACTCCAATAGTCATCTTGAGGTTATCTGATGCCGTCGTTAAGACAGGTTGAGAATAAAATATAGATATATTATAAAAGGTCTGCAATTATACTTATTTATTTCAAGGACAAAGTTCACTAAGATACTTAGGGACAAGCACATTAACATTTGTTGGGGTTGTAATACTTAATCTCACTGTAGTATTGCTTTTCCATTGGTTTTGAATTAATTTTTTTATTGAAAAGAAAATGAACTCCAGAGACTGTTGCCTACCAAGCATCTGCCTTTATATCAGTTTTCCACACTTCAAATGAGCATGGTGCTTCAGCAGTTGTAGGGAAACCAGAACAACAGAAAACTAGCATTTTCTTTAAATTATATCCAATGTTGCACAAATAAATGGGGAATGTGTCCTTGGGACACAGATGATGCCCCTGCTTGCATATAACTTTGTAAAGGGACATAACTCAAGAACTGTAAAAGTGACGCTACCCAAATTTGTACTTGATCTGAGTTTTGTGGTAATACGCATTGTTTATAAGTTTCATAACATTTAGTTGAGGTAAACTTAAGTTAGAGAACGGAAACGAAAAATTCAGTAATTTTTCCATTTGTAAAGGGGCATAACTCTAGAACGGTAAAAGTGACGCCACCAAAATTCAAACTTGATCTGTGTTTTGTGGTAATTAGCATTGTGCATAAGTTTCATAACATTTGGCTGAGGCAAACTAAAGTTAGAGAATGGAAACAAAAAAATCAGCAATTTTCCCATTTGTAAAGGGGCATAACTCTAGAACAGTAAAAGGGACGCCACCAAAATTTAGACTTGATCTGTGTTTTGTGGTAATAAGCATTGTGTATAAGTTTCATAACATTTGGTTGAGGCAAACTAAAGTTAGAGAACGGAAACCAATTTTGGGATGTATGGACGGACGGACGTACAGATGAACAAGGGTAAAACTTAATGCCCCCTCCGCTACGGCAGGGGCATAAAAATTCCAAATGTCAGCACAATATAAGGATGGCCAAATGTTGATGAGAACGTCATTTTCATAAATATTTTGGTGTTCCATGGCTTAACTCGAGTCAAAAGGAAGGAAAATAGTAGATTTACCTACTCATTTTAAACCAAATATCAGTTAATTACCTGCAAGAAAAGCTGTCTGAGGAAGAGGAAAATGTTGTTTTCATATCATTTTCAAGCTGTAATTAGGTCAAAGTAAGTTAATAGTGACAAAATTCACATGTTATGGTAGTAATGTTGAAATTCCATAATAAGCAAAATGAGTGCACAACTGTCTTAAATGCTGTTAGTGTTGATGTACACTCCAATTAACTCTATGAACCAAATAAAGTTGACCCAATACTCACAAACAGAGAAAGAAAACTTAACAGAAATCTTTGAACCAAGAAAAGAGGTAAAGGTCATATATGACTCCTTTCATTCAAGTGTATCTTTAATCAATATTATTGACCTTATTTAGGTGACCTACTACTCATAAAACTGACCAAAGTGCAAACACTTAATGTTCATCACTAGGAAAGAGATCGAGGTCATGCGACTCCTGTCAGACATACATGAATACATTACAATTCAATAACCTACCTATAAAAGTTAGCTTATTACCAATATTACGATCTAATAAGAAACTGAACGAAGTGTGAAATATATTTATTAAGTTAATCATTACACTTGGAAGGAGGTAATGATCAGCTTATACAATATTATAGCCCAATTATATTTACCAACTACTAAAGCAGACAAGAAACTGTTGATGCTTGAAAAACAGACTCAACTTTGATCATTATACTATAAAAGTGATCAAGAAATAGATTTTATTAACTGAGAGTACCTTCTGATCTCTACTTTGTATCGATCTGACAAGTTAAGTCCTTTTCAACTGATTTTGATAATTTGATGTTTAACCCGCCACATTCTGTTTGTGTCTGTCCCAAGTCAGGAGACAGTAACTCAGTAGTAGTTGTTTGTTGCTGTATATAATATTTGCTTTTTGTTTATTGTTTTTTTACATAGATCAGGCCTGTTTGACTTGTTTTACATTTGTCATTTCGGGGCTTTTTATAGCTTGCTATATGGTATGGTTTTGCTTATTGTTGAAGGCGATATGGTGACCTATAGTTGCTGACTTTTGTCATTTGGTCTCTGGTAGACAGTTGTTTCATTGGTAATCATACCACATCTTATTTTTATAAGGTCAGGTGTCTGGTTAGTGGAAAGGTTGGTGTTGGCCGTTGTAGTGACCAATATTTTTGGTAATATCCATTATTCTTTTAATGTATTGTGTACATCTTACATACGTGCTATCAATCTCGGAGGAAACCATCCACCCAGAAAAAAATGCTTTGGTACTGCCATATGAATAATACATATTTTTTGGTAAATTTCCAGTTCATAAGTATTATAATTGTGTGGAAACTAAAGTTGTAACCCTTTCTGGCAAAGTTCCGGTACATGGTTTTTTGCTGTTGTAACACTTTCAGGTAAAGTTCCGGTACATGGTTTTTTGCTGTTGTAACCCTTTCAGGCAAAGTTCTTGTACATGGTTTTTTGCTAACCCTTTCTGCAAAAGTTCTGGTACATGGTTTTTTGCTATTGTAACTCTTTCTGGCAAAGTTCCGGTACATGGTTTTTTGCTGTTGAAACCCTTTCTGACAAAGTTCCGGTACATGGTTTTTATACGACCACAAACAAATTTTTGTGGTCGTATATTGGTATGACGTTGGCGTCGTCGTCCTCGTTGTCGTCCGGCGTCGTCCTGCGTCGTCTGAAAACACATTGGTTTTTCGCACTCTAACTTTAGTTTAAGTGAATGGATCTCTATGAAATTTTACCACAAGGTTCAATACCACAAAAGGAAGGTTGGGATTGATTTTGGGGGTTATGGTACCAACAGTAAAGGAATTAGGGGCCAAAAATAAGCATTTTTGTAACTTCCAGACATAACTTGTGTGTTAGTGTATGGATCTCTCTGACATTGTACCACAAGGTTCCATATCACAAAAGGAATGCTGGGATTGATTTTGGGGGTAATTGCCTCAAAATTTTAGGAATTAGGGGCCAAAAACAAGCATTTTTCTAGTTTCATGACAATAACTTGTGTGTAAGTGTATGGATCTTTCTGAAATTGTACTACAAGGTTCCATATCACAAAGGGAAAACTGGAATTGAGTTTGGGGGTAATTGCCGAAACGTTTAGGAATTGGGGGCCAAAAATAAGCATTTTTTTAGTTTCCAGACAATAACTTGTGTTCAAGTGTATGGATCTCTCTGAAATTGTACTGCAAGGTACCATACCACAAAGGGAAGGCTGGGATTGATGATGGGGGTAATTGCCTCAATATTTTAGGAACTAGGGGCCAAAAAGGGGCAAAAAACAAGCATTTTTCTAGTTTCAGGACAATAACTTGTGTGTAAGTGTATGGATCTTTCTGAAATTGTACTACAAGGTTCCATATCACAAAGGGAAAGCTGGGTTTGAGTTTTGGGGTAATTGCCCTAAATGTTTAGGAATTTGGGGCCAAAAAGGGGCCAAAAAACACATTTTTCTAGTTTCCAGACAATAACTAGTGTTCAAGTGTATGGATCTCTCTGAAATTGTACTGCAAGGTACCATACCACAAAGGGAAGGCTGGGATTGAGTTTGGGGGTGATGAATCATAAGGGGGTTGAAAAAATTTGGGGGGGGGGGGGGGGGATTTTTCCTTTTTTTTTTCTTTTAAAATTTTCCATTTTAAGTTGGTTATTTCTGATTTATATTTAAAAGCAAATAATAATGATATGGTAGGAGATACACACCAAACAGGATGTGTAAATTATTATATTATAAGTATTGTGCAATAGCAAGAAATTTTCAATTGCACAGTATTGCACAATAGCAAGAAATCTTCAATTGCACAGTATTGCGCAATAGCAAGAAATCTTCAATTGCTCAGTATTGCGCAATAGCAAGAAATATCCAATAGCACATTATTGCGCAATAGCAAGAAATTGTCAATTGTACAGTATTGCGCAATAGCAAGAAATATTTAATTGCACAGTATTGTGCAAAAGAAGATACTTCATATAAATTGCTTATTTTTTGACCAATTTCAATGGGGTTTTATTCTTGAATTCTTGGGGTTCTTTAATATGCTGAATCTAACCTTGTATTTAGTTTTGGATTTTGGGCCCCGTTTTTAAATTGGTCCACATTGAGGTCCAAAGGGTCCAAAATTAAACTTTGTTTGATTTCATCAAAAATTGAATTATTGGGGTTCTTTGATATGCCAAATCTAACCGTGTATTTAGATTCTTCATTTTTGGTTCTGTTTTCAAATTGGTCTACATTAAGGTCCAAAGGGTCCAAAATTAAACTTAAGTTTGATTTTAACAAAAATTAAATTCTTAGGGTTCTTTGATATGCTGAATCTAAACATGTATATAGATTTTTGATTATGGGCCCAGCTTTCAAGTTGGTCCAAATCGGGGTCCAAAATTAAACTTTGTTTGATTTCAACAAAAAAAGAATATATGGGGTTCTTTGATATGCTGAATCTAACCATGTATTTAGATTTTTGATTTTTGGGCCCCGTTATCAACTTTGTCCACATTGAGGTCAAAAGGGTCCAAAATTAAACTTTGTTTGATTTCATCAAAAATTGAATTCTTGGGGTTCTTTGATATGCTGAATCTAACCATGTATTTAGATTTTGGATATTGGACCATAATAGGTGAATGTCCAATTTAAAAAATTTTAAGTTCTTAGACCACATTCATTCTGTGTCAGAAACCTATGCTGTGTCAAATATTTAATCACAATCCAAATGCAAAGCTGTATCAAGCTTGAATGTTGTGTCCATACTTGCTCCGACTGTTCAGGGTTCGACCTCTGTGGTCGTATCAAGCTGCGCACTGCGGAGCATTTTATTTGCTGTTGAAACCCTTTCTGGCAAAGTTCCGGTACATGGTTTTTTGCTGTTGTAACCCTTTCTGGCAAAGTTCTAGTACATGGTTTTTTGCTGTTGTAACCCTTTCTGGCTAAGTTCCGGTACATGGTTTTTTGCTGTTGTAACCCTTTCTGGCAAAGTTCCGGTACATGGTTTTTTGCTAACCCTTTCTGGCAAAGTTTCGGTACATGGTTTTTGTCGAGCCTTCGACTTTTGTCGAAAAAGCGAGACATAGCGATCCTACATTCCGTCGGCGTCGTCGGTGTCGTCCACAAATATTCACTCTGTGGTTAAAGTTTTTGAAATTTTAATTACTTTCTTAAACTATCCTGGATTTCTACCAAACTTGGACAGAAGCTTGTTTATGATCATAAGATAATATTCAAAAGTAAATTTTGTAAAAAAAAAATTCTATTTTTCCGTATTTTACTTATAAATGGACTTAGTTTTTCTGCCAGGAAACATAACATTCACTCTGTGGTTAAAGTTTTTGAAATTTTAACAACTTTCTTAAACTATCCTGGATTTCTACCAAACTTGGAAAGAAGCTTGTTTATGATCATAAGATAGTATCCAGAAGTAAATTTTGTAAAAAAAAAATTCCATTTTTTCCGTATTTGACTTATAGATGGACTTAGTTTTTCTACCAGTTAACATTACATTCACTCTGTGGTTAAAGTTTTTAAAATTTTAACAACTTTCTTAAACTATCCTGGATTTGTACCAAACTTGGATAGAAGCTTGTTTATGATTAAAAGCTAGTATCTAAAAGGAAATTTTGTTAAAATTTTGTTCCATTTTTTCCGTATTTTACTTATAAATGGACTTAGTTTTTCTTCCAGTTAACATTACATACAGTCTGCAGTTTAAGTTTTTAAAACATTTATTAGATTCATAAACTATCCTTGATTTTTACCAAACTTGGACAGAAGCTACTTACAATCAAAAGATAGTATAGAGAGGAATATTTTTATTAATTTTTTTCCTCATTTTTGTTGAGCCTGTGATTAACAGCAAAAGTAGGCGAGACACTGGGTTCCGCGGAACCCTTACGAATTTTTTGCTGTTGTAACCCTTTCAGGCAAAGTTCCGGTACATGGTTTTTTGCTGTTTTGTATTTGCCATTTTGGTTTTTCTTATGGCATACACTTTATTTATTTGGATTTCCAAACATCAGCAAACCTGATGAAGATTATCTAAGAAACATGCGTTCTCTGTTTATAAAACTAAGGTTCTGACTCCTGCAGGCAAAGTTGACCTTAGATGAATTTGGCTTTTTGTTTTTGGTCCTATTTGTTCATAAAGCTTTTTATGTGTTATGGTCTTGTGCATTCCCTGGCTTTCAAATGTTTGGTTTAGAGTTTTTCTGATGAAGGAAAATCCAGAATAGGGTTTTGGACACACACAATTAATAAACTCTTATTTTCATAGTGTGCACTGAAATCATGCTTTTTCAGCAGTTTTATCTTGTGGAATAATTTTTCAGTTTTTGAGTGGGTGTACACATCTTACTAACATTATTACAATCTTTCTCAAATTGTCTGTTTATAAATTTATAAATTATAATGAAATTAAATTTCAATTCCCTCAGGCACAGTAAAACTGTTGGCCTTCGATGAATTTGGCTTTTTTTTTTAGTTCCATTTTGATCATATAGCTCTTCAACTGTTTTGGTTCTCATACATTCTTTCTTTCAAAAAATTGGTTTTGGACAATCCTGATGAAGGTACATCCAGGAAAGTGCTTTGGACGCAAGAAATTCATGAAGTGCTGTTTTCATTTTCTATCTAACATGGCATAAAACACAATGAGTAAAACTAAAGATTGAATCTATATTTCATAATATGCCGTTGTTTTACATAACAAAGTAACAATTCCTTGAGACAATAAAACAAGTGAAGTTTAACAACAAAGTACTGGTATACATAAAAACTGATTAGGGCTTATATTCCTCAACAAAATAAAACAGCACAAGTCTGCAAAGTAAAATGACTCAACAATCAATTATTAGATTGTAATTTACAAATTCAAACAAGATATAATTAATTAATTCTATTTTATATGAAATTCTGAATCTGTGCACATGTTAAAATTAATCATGCATCAATTCTCAATCATTATTGCACATTTATCTTTTAAGTTACGCCTGGCAAGTATAGTTGCCAATATTTCTCAGTGTGCATACAAGTAAATATTTTTTATATAGTATCAACAGAATTTTCAATGAATTATAACAATTTCAAATGAACTAACTTTTATTTTAAACTTGATGTCAAAACAGAATTTTTGAATACTTGCTTATTCAACGATCTTGAACTGTTTATAGCGAATTATTTTTTTACCATATCAGATTCATTATAAGCTAAATTACCTATATTTATTAACTGATCAGATTTCAAACCAAAAAGTATAATTGTAACTATATTATATAACCCTGTGATACAGTGATCAGGCAAACCAGTACTTCATAAAAAGCATGCACATCCAATTTCTCTCTTGATATGAACAAATTAAATATAAATATACCTTTTTTACAGAGATGAAGGGTGGCTTGAATATAACAGCATCCGGAAAATCTAAAGCAAATTTTGACATCTATAAACTACCAAGCTCTTTTAATAGACAAACATCAACACTACACCGTATCTAGGTCAATGTTAAAATTTGCTTTATAATTTTCAAGGTTTGATAAAATTGCAGTTGCCCAAAATTATTATAACTGTTATTAAATATAAATATATTTCTTCAATAACAAAAATTTAACAAAAGGTTTGTAAAACATCATAATAATAAAATAATAATATCATCAGTTTGACCTTTCAACCTGGTGATATTCCTCTCAAACTGATTATTCCTGTCAATTTGAGTTAATTTTCATTTGAGTCCTCCTTGCTCGTTCTATACCAAGCCTCCCTGTGCATATAAAACTAAAATTTCCAGTTATCCAAGAACTTCTTATCCTTTCTTCAAGTTTATCAATTTTTTCATTCACAAAATTAACTTCCACATTAATGAGTAGCCAAGCAACATATTCTAGAGAATCCCAATAAAAAAAAGATCTAATAATTTTCTGTTTCAATGCTTTTAAAATATGCTAAATTTAAGTAAAAATATGAGTCTGGTTTTAAGCAGGGTAAAAAATCCTTGAATATCTAGAATTCTAGTAATATGAAAAATAAACATAGCACTTCTATCGTTTACATAGCAACCAAATAGCCAATAAAATTAAACCATAATATATATATATATGTATATTTGTTAAAACAAGGTACCCCGGCCTAACAACAATAAGAATGAAAAATTACATGTGAAATGTACAATTTTAACATTATCAACAAACTCATCTTAAAAAATGATATCATTAAATTAGTAAAGATAAGGTTAAGGTTTAATTACAGTTTCAGTCATGATCTCAAGTTCCAAAGTTCTCTCAACACATCTTTAAAATTTCATATGATTAAACAAATTTTAATTTCTGCAAAAGTTAGCTTCACATGTTCAAAAAATAAAACATTACTTAATGCATGAATACTTTTGGACTTGCTTCATATGTCACTACTAGAATTCTTTCACATAAATTTTCAAATCATTTCTTCTTTAATATGAACTGAAACTTATTGTTATATGTCTTCACCTTATCTTGCTTATGTGGATATAGCTGGGGTACAAAAATTTCCATCACATTTTATATAACAAATAACATGTTTTGTTTTTCTGAAGGCATACTTTAGATAATAACAATTTCAATATTTTTTCAAATCCATTTTCTTTGTTCTTGATAAACTACTAAATGGTAAAAAGAAAACAATGCAAACATATTACAATCTATATGAGTGTGGTCTGTTTTGAATTTTCAAAAATAGCACTATCAATTTGTATGTAAAACTAAACATGAAGAAAAAACTAAATGATATAATATAGACCGACAACTTAAACCTGGTTTTTGCAAGAACACACAGCACTTGGTTACTGAGCCACAGCACTGAAAAATACAAGTCAGAAAGACAATTTCAGATTTATAGCCTACTTTTCAATAAACTTAAAAAGATAAGATATGAGGTAAGTATTAAACTAACAGAAAAAAAAACAAAAAGAATAACAAGATATTACTGCCAGTAAACTGAAACCAAACTAATGATTCAACAAGTGTATTGCCAATATATACAAGACTTCCTTTCCATGTGCTGTACAAGCTTCTGTTGAATAACAAGTATTACAGAATCATTAGTCAAAACTTCCAACAAAGAACAGAAATGTTTCTAGCAAATAAAATACACATTCTAAATTGTACTACAACAAAGTTCAAGGTTACAAATTCTTTTAGTGTGCTATATTTGAAAGGTAAGTGATGCCTCATTCCAGAAAAAAAACTTTGCAAACAGGCATGGATAATCATTTTTTTTTTATACATATTAATTTTTTTCATTCCTATCTTAATATCTGCAAGTTTGTTGAGACAATAGCATGATATAACATTTTCACCAAAATTAGCTCATGATTGCAAAGCTTCATCTGTTATGAAACAAACTTTAGGCCAAAGTTAAACAGAAATATTTTAAAACACAAAAGTAAATATGAGTATAGCTAACAAGGTTTTAAGCAGCATGAGTTATTGTAAATAAAGAAGAGAAAATATCAAACTGATCTTCATAAATTAGGAAAACAGATTGTAAAAAGCAGAGACACTCGAAAATATAATATGCATTTCGCTTTTATATCTACTTTTAATAGAAGTATGATTTGTTCCAAGCCAGTTCTCCTTCACTTGAGTAAATGTACAGTTTATTTTTATTTTAATTTTCACAAACTTTTCACCAACTTTTTTCCCATCAGAAAATGCAGTATCAATTAAAAAAATAAGTAGTCGAGTGATTTTTAACCTATCACATACAAATATGTGTATTATATAAAATAAAAACTTTTTTCAATACAAATAATTTGAGATATATAACAAAAAACTTTAACAAGATATTAGGTCAAGAATTGACTCATTTATGATAACTTTGAAAGCATACTAAGAAAGAACTTCCATCACAAAAATGCCACAAGATTTTCCACAACATTTTTAATACTAAAATTAGTTAAGGAAAATTATGCATTTATTTCACAATGTCCTTTACAGTAAGCATGCTCTAAGGTTAACATAAAAAAGGTTAATTAAAGAATCTCATTTATCACCAACAACACTTTGTACAATTCTATCACAGTTGAAGGTATATAAATTATAACACTTTTCCTTATACTGATTGGCCTTTTAATAATAAAATAATGTACATTTCTTACACTTTGTCATCAACAACAAAAGGTTGTTTAAGTCTATGTCTCTATTTTCTATGGATTTTTTCTTTGCTTTTGACATTGGAATGACCAACTATGTTTACAAAAATGTGTTACTTTATAGATCTAACGTAAATTAGACTTTGTAAGCTTGGTAAGATATCTAAAAACAATGTCATAACATTATACGACCGCAAAAATTTTGCAATCGTATAAATATGTTTTCAATACCTTTCACTCAAATTGATATTTAGAACAAATAAGTCCATTGTTTTCCTATGGTGACAAAGTGAAAAAAGTTAAAGATTATATGAAACAAAATATTTGAATATTTGAATTTGTACATTTTCCTGAAACTACAGCATTGTACATAAAACTATTTTGGCATTAATCACCGTCAAAATATCACATGCCTTATCATTACCATAAACAAGATGTCTGTTATTCTTGCAAAATTTTATTTAGTTATGAATTGTTTGATTGATATTTTGTATTTGATGTTTGATGAAATGCAACTAAATAAATAATGTTTAACAAAAATACTCCCTAACACCACAAAAGGCAAATATAAATGGAGGCTATGTATGTACAGTAATGCTGTAATTAAGATATTTCAACACTCAGAAAAAATTATTCAACATTAATTTAACAGTATGAAATATAATTTTTCGAGAATAAATTTTTACAATGATATATTGTTAATGTCAGATATAAATTATCACAGTTTATTTCAGTCGTAAATTCCGATCTCTGTGCGTAACGGTCACTGACAGCAAGGATGATGTAAATGTGTGAACGATAACGGAACCAGCTGCTTGTCCAACTTTGTGTAACACAGAGACAAATGAACCATATCCAGTCAGTCCTGGACAGCTCGTCATTTATGCAACTGTTCGTTTTCTTTTATCTATTATAAATTCATCTAACAATACAGTACATTAACACACAATCATATCATATTTGCCTTTATCCAGAGTAGCTTAAAACCTTGAACCTACACCATTATACAAACTACAGTACATTCAGTAAGAAACTTTCCACAATTATACGATCTTTCCCTATGCCATAAGACATCAGCGTTGTCAAATGTCTTTTGCTTCGTCAACATGGCAAAGGAAATGTGCCTCGTAAAAAATACTGTGCTAGGAATTTTAATTTCATAGATAATTTAAAATCCCACAAAAAATCTCAACAAGGGAAATAGAATGAATAGAGACAACATTTCTTGTGATTCTGACCATAAATGAAAAACACACCATTAATCCTTACAACTATAATCAATCAAAAAACAGCTAAAAATTCTCCTCAAGGACAATCAATTACTGATAAAATTTCACATAACGCAACACCAAGTGCACTTTTTACAAAACATATGGACCAGACCCCCGACGTTGCACATTCCCTCTGTCAGATAGGTATCCATCTTTATTTCGTCTCTTTCAGGTCTTTTGGAGCCTCAGCTGCAGTTCCTGTCTGAGTGGAACCTTCAACGAATTCTGACAACATGTCACGAAATCTGCCCCAAGACCTCTCTGGAATGGTGACGGCAGTGCGATAATTAGATCGTACCTGAAAAAGAATATTTTTTTGTTATAATTTTTACTTTTTTAAACTTTCAACTTATAAATCTTTAGATATAGATAAAACAGCACTATAATGGAAGCGACCCATTAAAAACAGATTCAAACACATAAAGGGGGGGGGGGGGGGGGGGGGGGGAACACCCAAATTAATAAATTGTGGTTGGTAACATTTTCTTAAGAATTTTGTAAGAATTATAAGTTGTAAGTAAATAAACTGCTTCGCTGAATGCAGCTGGATACGCCCGCAGAGGTCCAACCCTGAACAGTTGGGGCAAAAATGGACACAATATTCAAGCTTGATACAGGTCTGAATTTGGATTGTATTAAATATTTGACATATTATAGGTTTCTGAATAAATGTAGTCAAAGAACTTGAAATTGGTTATATGAATTGAATTTATATTCAATTAAAGATTTCTTGCTGTTGTGCAATACACTGTGCTGTTGTGCAATACTTAGTAAATCTGTTGTCAGACTATAAACAATTAAAGTTCAATTAATTCTCAATGTCATATTAGAAATTTATGAAAATGTAAAGGGAGCTTACATCAATAGATATAAATAATTCACCAAAGTTTCATGAGAATTGCCGACAGCATTTTTGAGTTATTGTCCGACATGTTTACGACCGACGGACAGACGGACAACGGTATATCATAATTCGTCCCATAACAGGCGTATAAAATTGAAATTTTATAGTACAGGGGTGAAATTCGTCTCCAACAAAAATAAGTGGAAATGGTGTTTCTGTAAGTCAAAATACAGTAAAAAAAAAAGAAAAAATGACAGAAAAAACATGCTCAAATGGGAAATCCACAGAATACTTTCTTCTAAAAAAAAAGTGCCTACCATACCCACAATGTAGTTAAGTCTGGAACAGCCTAATTTTTTAACCTAATTTTTACAAAGGTGGGAATAGAGATGACAGTTCCTATTTGATGATGTTATATCTGCACGAAGAAATGCAAGAATAAATTGTATTTTTAACATACAAATAATATGCTCTTCCCAAGCAATTCTTAAATAAATAAAAAAGAAAATATTTTTAAATATTTAAAAAATAAATGGGGAATGTGTCCATGGGACACAGATGATGCCCCGCTTGCATATAATGTTATAAAGAGACATACCTAAAGAACTGTAAAAGTGACGCTATTTAAATTTGTACTTGATCTGAGTTTTGTGGTAATAAGCATTGTCTATAAGTTTTATAACATTTAGTTGAGGCAAACTAAAGTTAGAGAACAGAAACGAATATTTCAGCAATTTTTCCATTTGTAAAGGGGCATAAACTCTAGAACGGTAAAAGTGAAGCCACCAAAATTCAAAGTTGATCTGTATTTTGTGGTAATAAGCATTGTGTATAAGTTTCATAACATTTGGTTGAGGCGAACAAAAGTTGGAGAACGGAAACGAAAAATTCAGCAATTTTCCATTTGTAAAGGGGCATAAACTCTAGAACGGTAAAAGTCACGCCACCCCAATTTCAAACTTGATCTGTGTTTTGTGGTAATAAGCATTGTGTATAAGTTTCATAACATTTGGTTAAGGCAAACTAAAGTTAGACAACGGAAACCAATTTTGGGACTTTACGGACAAGGGTAAAACTTAATGCCCCCTCCACTACGGCAGGGGCATAAAAAAGTATATGGAGAGTTTGAAATATAAAGTAAAGTTCCATATTACTCTGTTCTAGCCATAATGGAATTAATGAGTCGCATACGTTTCCAAAGAATATGTCAACAAATGAATCATACTCTGATTGGCCGAAACAGGAAAAATACTAAAATGAAAATTTGACAATATTGCTGGAGCTCATTGATTATGATATGATAATGTATTGATTAAAAGAGAAATAATAAAGACTAGATTCGGTATTTTTCAGTGTTATTAATTTTGACTTGCCCGATGATGACTTTCATTTGTACCGGGCAATCAGACAGCCGTTAATGTTGAACCCTGGAAGGACCATGTATTGAAGGTGGTAAATACTGAATGCAATCATGCCAGAATGTTGGTGGCCTGTGATGCCTACTTTTAAGTGTGTTTATTACACAAAAACACACTAATACAGAAGGACGGTTGTGCTACTACATGTATATCCTTTGCAAAACTTCATTACAAAAGTTTTATCAAGGGCTTACAAAGTTAAAATACAAACCTCTGATACTCTCAGGTAAACTCCACGTCTGTTAGAGCCGACATCAAAATAGAAGACTTTGTTTTCAACCCGTAGGTACTTGCTTTCTGGTAATTCACTCTGTCCTTCTACAAAGATAATATTTACAAGTGTTATGATCTGTCAAACTGGTATATTTAATGTGAAAGTATCAATGTTTGTCTAGAACATGAGAACATGAGCAAGGACATGTTTTCACTGAATTTGAGTAATTTGTTTGACGACTTGAAAAAAAAAAACACCAGATGTTTAAAAAATGTAGGCACAAGAATATCTACAATGTTGATTTTCCTTTTAATATTTCATAGGGCATAACTCCCCCGAACACCAGATGTTAAAAAAATGTAGGCACAAGAATATCTATAATGTTGATTTTCCTTATTTATATTTCATAGGGCATAACTCCTTAACACCAGATGTTAAAAAAATGTAGGCACAACATTTAATAAGATTTGATGACAAGTTTATAACATGGTCTTATGATGATGACAAAAAATACTATAACCATTGCAGGTGAGACCATACAAACACAAAATATTTGCAGATTACCTGTAACAAGGAAAGAATAATACCCCCTTCTTACTTCTATATAAGGCTGTAACAGGAAAAATAATATACTTCCCTTTTGCTAATCTATAAAGCATTAGAGGAATTTATCAAAAGAAAAAAAAACAGGATAAGATGTAGGATTTTCTCCCTACTTATAAACAGACTGAGATACTATGCAGTATATATCATTATTAAAACATTGATTTTTAACCCTAATATTTATTCATTAGTTTTTAGTAAATTATATCATTTATCATAAATATCTCAAGAAAGATTAAACAACAAGATGTACTAGTATATTTTTTATATTCCATCTCTAGGAATTAAATTAAAATTTAGCTAATTATTCTGTATTAATCAGTCAGGGGCGTTACTTAAACAAGTAATTTTTTTTAGTTACTTATATAGGTAATATTTGTTTTTAGAAATTATTAAATTACTCAAAAGAGTTATTTTATATTTCAATAGAAGCATGGACTAAATGTAGTTTTCATGAGTTTTTACATCATTTTATCACATAAAATTAAGAATCTATTAAATTTGATAGAAGTATAGAGATAAAAGGTTACTTTAAAAATAATGACAAAAATATTACTTGAATAAGTTATTTTTAATACATCTTTGAAAGAATTAGTAATTACAATTATTTAAGGAACATATGTAATTGTTTTGGGTTACAAATTATAAATAACTTTAAGTCTTAAGTAAATCACAAGTTTCTATCTATTTACATCTGTCTACCTTCAAGATTTTCAAGGAAAATGATATTTTAATAGTCCCATGAGACCAATATTTGACCAAGCCTCGATATGAAAGATAAGTGCATCAGAAAGGCAATTAGTGTTTCAGGAGGATTAATTTTTATATTTCATGGGAAAAATAACCAGATGACTGTGAAAATTTGTTAAAGCTAGTAAAATCTGTATTAATGGACACCTATAAAAATAATATTTAGAAAAGTTACTTATATAAGTAATATTTGATATAGCCTCGTTTTCAACATTACTTGTATAGGTAATTTTAAAAGTTACTTGTTTAAGTAATGCCCCTGACTGTTTAGGAAGGATAACAATACCAATAATAAAATAAGATGTTCATTGTTAGCAGAGCTCCAGATAAGTTTGCTTTAATATGTTTTATGGATGTTAACTAATATAGTTTTAATTAATTGAATTGGTAATGAAAATATGATGTAATCTAAGAACTACACTGTAGGCATATGAGAGAAATGAAGCTGATTTTTTTAAATACTATCCAAAACACCCAATGACATCCAAATATAAGAAAGTGTAGGTGTCTCATAGTGATCTAATAGAACTGGACATCTAGTTTACTTTGTAAATTAGAGTACTGTAAAGGTTCGTGGGAATTTTTGCAGGTTGTTATTTTTGCGAATTCAATGAATAAATTTCAGCCTGGGTGTTTAATTATTGCATCGAACAAGTGCATCCCTACCTAAATATGGTTTATATGTACCAACTATTCGTGTGAAGGACATTTTGGCCCATTTTACCTGATCATAAAATGAGCAAAAATTTCCTGATTAACAGTATAGATATGTTTGGAGAAAAAGCTTGACATCACTTGGTATCTAAAGTTCACACCTGGAAGTTTCAATGTCAAATGACTATGACAATTAAAATACGAGAATAAAAATATTGAATAATGTTGCTTTATACAAGTGACTATTGAGAACTTTAAGAACTGTGAAAATTAAATAAGGCAAAGTGAATAGGTCTGTAGTGATGTGTACCTATATCATCACAGCATCAGCAAATATTTAACTGGAGCTCTACCAAACATTTGCAAACCAATTTTTTGCTTTGGACTATTGCATAGCAAAACTAATATACACTAAAGCAATAACCATAAAAATCTTAATTCAAAACTTCAGTCTTTTCTTATACCTGGACCTTTTAAAAAAAAATTCTCAAATTGAATTGAAACTTTTTATTGTGCCATTTAATAAAAATAAATCGACGACACAAGACTTCTTTCAATCGGCATTAAAGTAAAATTCTGTAATAACAGAATTAAAGAATACAACAAGAGAGGAAAATGTGGGTAATGTGAAAAAGAAAAAGTGGGAAAAAATCATTTCAAGCAAAATTTTCAGCAAGAAGCAGTGCCTAGTACCATTTGCATTCATAATTTCATAACCAGTTTTTACAAAATATTAAACTGAATTAAACAAGAGTGCACACGCTGAAATGTCTCGCCTTCTTTACTAATCATTGATATTATGTTGATAGTCCTAAATATAAAGCTTTATTACAACTGTCACATAAACTTAACATTAACCAAGTAAACTAAACATTGACCAATGAACCATGAAAATGAGGTCAAGGTCAGATGAACCATGCTAGGCAGGCATGTACAGCTAACAATTCTTCCATACAACAAATATAGTTGACCTATTGCTTATAGTTTAAGAAAAACAGACGAAAACACAAAAACTTAACACTGAGCAATGAACCTTGAAAATGAGGTCAAGGTCAAATAAAACCTGCGTGACTGACATATAGATCATAAAATATTTCCATACACCAAATATAGTTGAACTATTACATATAGTATTAGAAAAAAAGACCAAAACTCAAAAACTTAACTTTGACCACTGAACCATGAAAATGAGGTCAAGGTAAGATGACACCTGCCAGCTAGACATGTACACCTTACAATCATTCCATACACCAAATATAGCTGACCTATTGCATGCAGTATTAGAAAAAAAGACCAAAACTCAAAAACTTAACTTTGACCACTGAACCATGAAAATGAGGTCAAGGTCAGATGACACCTGCCAGCTAGACATGTACACCTTACAATCATTCCATACACCAAATATAGTAGACCTATTGCATACAGTATAAGAAAAACAGACCAAAACACAAAAACTTAACTATAACCACTGAACCATGAAAATGAGGTCAAGGTCAGATGACACCTGCCAGTTGGACATGTACACCTTACAGTCCTTCCATACACCGAATATACTAGACCTATTGCTTATAGTATCTGAGATATGGACTTGACCACCAAAACTTAACCTTGTTCACTGATCCATGAAATGAGGTCGAGGTCAAGTGAAAACTGTCTGACGGGCATGAGGACCTTGCAAGGTACGCACATACCAAATATAGTTATCCTATTACTTATAATAAAAGAGAATTTAACATTACAAAAAATCTGAACTTTTTTTTCAAGTAGTCACTGAACCATGAAAATGAGGTCAAGGACATTGGACATGTGACTGACTGAAACTTCGTAACATGAGGCATCCATATACAAAGTATGAAGCATCCAGGTCTTCCATCTTCTAAAATATAAAGCTTTTAAGAAGTTAGCTAACGCCGCCGCCGCCGCCGCCGCCGTAGCCGGATCGCTATCCCTATGTCGAGCTTTCTGCGACAAAAGTCGCAGGCTCGACAAAAATACTGATAAAGAAGGTATACATATTTTGGCCCACCCTTGCAAAAAGATATAAAATACAAATGCTAACTGATGAGCAGGAATAAAAGCGTATAAAACAACAAATAAAACAATATGTACCATCTGACTCACCGTGGTCGTCCGTACCAAACTCATCTAACAAATCTGTTAAAGCATCTCGAAACTCTATCATTCCTTGTGCAGGAATGGCAATTTGTGAACGAGGTCCACCTCGTGGACGAGTCTGTGCTACCTATTCATGGCAAACAAATCTTATAATATCAATAAACAGTTCATTTGCAAAATTAATTTGCAAGAAAAATTATAGATTGAATTACATGAAGCATTATACTTACTTTGTATCTTTTAAATCTTCCTTACAAATAAATATTCAGGATTATGATACATCACATAATACATTGTATATTTAGGATTATGATATATCACATAATACATTGTATATTCAGGATTATGATATATCACATAATACATTTTATATTCAGGATTATGATATATCACATAATACATTGTAGTGCTTACTTTAAATCATGATATAAGCCTAATGGCCTTTTCATTTTTTGCAACAAGGGTAAATTTTACAGTGTAATGTGTTTCCTGATCGGGAGTTCAGTTACTAAAATATAGTATTATATATATATATGAGAATAATGGGGTCATTTCATTCAAAATATAAATAGATATTTTTGTTTAAGAAATGCACATTTGCAAATTAATTTCATACAGGCACAGTATCAAGGACAGGGAGATTTTCATTTATTTTGTCACCAGTCTGGAAACAAACTACACTGTAGCAGTATCAACTAAAGGTATTGCAAGCAATCTCACATGATATACTGCCCTGAGGAATTTTCATTTAATTCTTAATAAGGGTTAAGGAGAAGCAGATACAAATGTGTACTGTAATGTGCTGATATGACAAAGTCTATCCATATAATGTCACAGTAAACTCCAAAAATCATTTGGGTAAAGATATGAAAAGACAATGCAAAAGTAGTTCATGTGAGTCAAGTTTCACAAAGTCTGTCAAGGGGTTCAGGAGCAGTAGCAGGTTCAAAAGCGAATGGAAAGAAAAATGGATGGACACCCACATCACTATATACTGGTGGGTGCCTGCTTCAAAAAGCAGGGATACAATAAACTGCATTTCCTTGCACCTGAACTGAAACATATTTACATCTGTACTGTGTCGGAAAGACAGAGAAGAGCCCATTTATCAGTCACTCCAATTTCATTTTTCAAAGTTTGAATTTTGTTTCAAACTGCAAAGTAAAATCTGGTGAACATAACATTAAATTGCATAAGGTTGAGGGAATATGCCTAAATTTTGATCTCCATATCAAGCAGCTAACCTCTGGAAGAATGGAAAGCCACTGGAGTCAAAATTCAGGATTTTCATAAGAGGCAGTCAAATTACAGCCCCTGCATGGTAAAGGCTAATAAAATTTGACATTTATTATATTTGCTGAAAAAAATGAAAATTTGTAGATTAGTTTTTGCAGCAACAAATAAGCACCTGATTGTAAAGTCTCAAATCTGATGACTGTAAAATCTAAAATAAAAATAAAATGTCCATCACATTTTAAAAACCTTCTTTTTAACAATTCCAAACAGGTATAAGAGGTAAAAAATGGATTTCACTGGCTTGCATTTGAAATAATCCTGTTTAAAACATTTGAATAAAAACATTTTGTCATTTATTGTCAACATGAATATTTAATATACTGTCTATTACCCCTGTTAGAAAATGCTGGCAACCTAGGCACTTACCCTCAAGAATCTCCCTCGCTGATTTTCCTTGAGGTCTAGGTAGTAACGTCTATTGTCTTTAATCATGGTTTCACTTTTCAGTTTACCGTCTTCAGGTAGATTATCTGGGTTAGGAGGACCTACAATGCAGTAATTTCAGTGTTCCCAAACAACAGGGAGTAAAGAAGACAATAATATACAAGATGAAAATGAGAGCTGCATGTAATATCTATACATATTTAATAACATATTACAAAACTTTTGCTGATATTCAGTTTACCAATATCTGATAATTTCTATGCCAGAGAGACTAGAATTAGGTGATCCAGTTATCACAGATCCCTTGCGAAAATTCTTTAACTGCAAATGCCATAACCAAAACTCAAATTGAAAGTGACTTATTTCTTTTGTTTTAGAACATTGCATTAAATTGAAATGATTTTTTATTAAATAGTACTTTCATTTTCACTAAAAAAGGGAATACAAAAAAATATAAAAAAATTATGGGAATTAAGGAGAAAAACTCTTCAAAAGTAAATTGCAAAACCATCAACATCAAACTGACCTGTATTATATGATCTATGACACTGTGTTCAAATTAAAAACATTTGATCAAGCTGTACTACAGATATTATCTAACTTGTAAAGAAAGGATGAACAAACCTGTGGCATCACTTAATTTACCCTCCCTCCCCAATTCCACTATGAGGGGGCTATAAATATCAGTTATCCACTCGTGCAATCTGTTCATGCAAATATTAAAACTTAAAAAATAATTTTTGTTAAAGTTTCTAGCAAAAAGATGTTTAATGATTAGTTATCCAAAATATGTGTCCAGTAAATCATTCTCAAACACCTTAGTTTTTTTAGGCTATGCACTCTTGTGTGACCCAAAGGAAAAAATTTAAATATAACTATCTAGAGATGGGGAAAAAAAAGATTACAAGTTACCAAGTGATGCGTAATGTTCACTAAAATCTGTTAGATAATCCCTGAATTCTGCAGCGGTAGACATTGCCAACAGGAGGCGACTTTTCTTCCCTCCTGCACCTACCTGTAACATATGATAGGTATTGTCATCATTTTTATATTATATATATTTATATTGTTGATATTGTTAATGTTTCTGTACTGACAACCATGACTTTTGTTTAAATATTATGAGTAGAACAATTTACTAGAATGTAGGTACAAACTTCGACTAATAATGACTCCAGTGTGTATATCAATTGATCAAGCACAGATGACAGTCATCTCATGTACTGATCTACAGGTGTCAATTTTGCCAGTTTATCTAAATCATCTGTAAACAAATGGTTCACACTAAAACCTGAAATTTAGGAAGTAATATACCAGACCTTATAGATCAGAATCATTTACCTGTCAAAGTTTGTGGCATGATTGCAACACCAATGGAAATTCAAAAAAATTCAAGTCGGTCAGGTCCAGTTAATCTGATAATTTCCAACACCTCTGGTATTAGTATGTTGTCTTGACCTCTAGGTTTTTGTATTGAGCTGCTGTCTCATTAACATATACTTTACATTTGTAGGTCTACAAGTCTTTTGTTGAAGATCTTACATGTATCATGTGTATGTTGTCTTGACCTCTAGGTCTTTGTATTGTTATGGTGAGCTGCTGTCTCATTAACATTTACTATAGGTCTACAAGTCTTTTGTTGAAGATCTTACATGTATGTTGTCTTGACCTCTAGATTTTTGTATTGTTTTGGTGAGCTGCTGTCTCATTAACATATACTATACATTTGTAGGTCTTCACAAGTCTATTGTTAAAGATCTTATATGTATGTCTTGACCTCTAGGTTTTTGTTATTGTATTGTTGTGCTCTCTCATTGACATACATGTATATACAAGTACCCTACATCAGCTTTTAATGAAAATTTTGTAACATTTGTTAATAAACTAGTTGTATGCTAAAGGAAATTATTCAGTTCAAGACAGTTGGACATCCAAAAACAGTATTCAACAGAAAATTGTTTTATATGAGATTCAAAATTCATTTTGCCAAATATATATATGTCTTACGGAGAAAGTAAGTATAAAGTAGACAATAGTCAGTGCTGCTTTGTATTTGTACTTCAAGATTGGTATTTTATTAAAGCGAAAAGGCAATTATTGAACAAAAATTTACATTTTCTAGCTGAAATCAGTAATAGCAAATGATTCATTGTCATAAATCTAGTGGTCAAGACCTGATAAGAGTTATCATATATTGGGATATTTTCACATACATGTGTCTATTTTTCGCAGAAGACATTAATCATAGATATAATGTTCAATCTTAGGTCAAAACTGTGAACAAAACAACGATGCTAAAATAACCCGATATACAAAATAACAAATACAAACTTCTGCTATTTTGATAAATCTTCCTCGTCTGTTTTGTTTGACATCTAAATAGAATCTCTTTGACTGAATCTGCAAAGTTTTTGTTGCCAGCTCCTGCTCACCAGAGCCTAAAATATATGAGTGGTCAAATAAGACATAAAATAAATGAGGGCTCCAATAAGACATAAAATAAATAAGTGGTCCACTAAGACAATCAAAATTGCATAAAAAACCCTTTTTTTCAATACCATAGTTATGCTAGGCAAATATATTAGAGTGACTTTTCATTTTGAATCTTAGAGGCAGAAGTGATGAGTCTTTAGAGAAAAGTACACATATATATGCATTCACATACACTGCTACAATGTTAGTTTGCTCCAATACTATTTTGTCTTCTATGAATCCAATTTGCATTGTTTCATGTAATTTTAAGTGACATATAAACATGATAAATGTAAGTATATACATGTATATGTATGATTGATTGACTGATTGATGATTGCTTTGTGCCACCTTAGCACATCATTTTAATGTAACTCTTGTTGTCACTTGTAAGGCATCTATACCATTTAGATATAGATATACAACACTGTAGCAGAATTAAAAGAATAGGAAAAAAAATATAGCGTCTTGTTTCACATAAACTTTACATCATCAATGCTACATGAAAATGAGGTCAAGGTCAGATGAACCCTACCTGACTGACATGTACACCTTAGTTACAATCATTCCTTACACCAAATATAGTTGAACTGTAATCAGGGTTCGACACTAACGCTAGTCCGCTAGCCCGAGGCTAATAAAAATTAGGGAGGCTAGTCAAGTTTTCATCACAGTAGTCCGACGGGCTAGTCAAAATTTTGTTTATAACTAGGAATTTTACAAAATTTTATTTGTCAACAAATCCCACATTTTTTGCTGACCTTTGCTGTCTTTATTGTACAGTTTATTCACGTATATTTTGATTGTCAGACATTTTTAACATGAAAGGTACTTTTTGGGGAGGGGAAAGAAACTGAAACAATGATGGTACTTAATACATTGAAAACCAAGTGTGTTAGAAACGCCGTGATGATTCTGATCAGAAACCTGGAAGTCAAAAGTGCTTTCAGAATATCAAAATAATAACATGAATACAAAATTTACATACATTACTACCGATGCCATCACTGTTTGGGAAAATTGTACAACTTATTGGGAGGAATTTTAAGCCATTTTTTTTAGTAATTGGGAATTTTCTTTTAGGGAAAAAGCTGTATTTCGGATGTAATTTGAGGCAATATCACCGACATATAATATATACTAAATTATAGGTCTCTGGTAAAAATATACAGATTTTTAGGAATAAAATTTCGTCCTGCAAAAAAAAAAACAAAAAAAACCTGACAAACAACAAGGGAAAAGAAGGAGCCCATGAAGAATTATGATAAAAAACAGCAAGGGCAAACCTTTCCTCTTTTGTTGGTGTATTTGTAAATCCCTTCCTTAACCATCTTCATTAAAGACACTAGTAATAATGATAAATAAAATGAGGAGGATGATGAAGTAATGAAAGGGGTCTTCAAAGTAAGTCGAACACATTCTTAATATAGATGATTAAAATATGTGAAATTTTTTTATTTTTTTTGGTATTTTTTATTAGCAAACCAGTGAAATTTCATGAAACAAAACATGTTCAAAACCCTCTGGAAATGCTCCAGAACACAGGATTTTGCTTCATTTGTATCAAAATTTTCTGGGGGGCGGGGGCATGCCCCCAGACCCTCATAGATAGGGCTGTGCCGTTGGCACAACCATCCAAGTGCCTTCGACACTTGGAGGGCTAGTGATTTGAAAAGAGGACTAGTAGAATAATAATTTAACTAGTCCTGCAGGCTAGTACATACATTTAGTTAGTGTCAAACCCTGGTAATCAGTTGCATCTATCTTGCAATGATTCCACACACCAAATATAGTTATCCTTTCACTAATACTCTCATAGTACATGTAAATGATTAAAGAGTACATTTTTCCAGCACACACTGAACCATTTAAATGAGGTCAAGGGCAACAGAAATTTGCCAGACAGAATATACTGCCAGATTCCTGTCTGGCATTCTTCTACTTTTGTTGCAGGTGCGACAAAAATCATTATGATATCTACTACACTCTGAAGCAGTGCTCTAGGATTCCCATTTCTGTCACCCATGGAAAGTAAATTTCCATCACAGGAAAGTGTAATTCAAATCGTGAACTTCACTGTGCAGTAAAAAATTATGCCTGGTGGGAATTTCTTTGATCCTTTATTGGAGTATGTTCATTGTTGGTATAACACTTTAATCCTCAAAAGCAGTACATCTGCTGCTATTGTAACAAAAATCGCTAATGGTTTATGATTGGTTATCAAAAATCGCTAATGGTTTATGATTGGTTATCAAAATATCATCTTCATTCAGGAAGCATAAAACTTCAATTGTGCCGGGAAAAAACCAAAGAAATCCTTAATGAAAATCCGTTGTAGATATAAGAACAATATCAGGATAGACATAATCCTGTTCACAAAGGGATTTTTAACTCCGTTTTACTATGTTTTCTACAAAATCAACAAAAAAAATGTTGATACATGAAAAGTTTAGGTGTAAGTATCAACCATTATGTGTGCCTTTTGAGAAACAGAATATAGTTACCTCAACCAAGGAAGACCAGATAGCTGGAATCAAAGGACAGATGAAAATAAATGGGGAATCTGTCCATGGGACACAGATGATGCCCCCGCTTGCATATAACTTTATAAAGGGGCATAACTCAGGAACGGTAAAAGTGACGCTACCCAAATTCATACTTGATCTGAGTTTTGTGGTAATAAGCATTGTGTATTTATAAGTTTCATAACATTTGGTTGAGGCAAACTAAGTTAGAAAACGGATATAAAAAATTCAGCAATTTTCCATTTGTGAAGGGGCACAACTCTAGAACGGACACCACCAAAATTTAAACTTGATCTGTGTTTTGTGGTAATAAGCATTGTGTATCAGATTCATAACATTTGGTTGAGGCAAACTAAAATAAGAGAACGGAAATGTAAAATTCAGCAATTTTTCCATCTGTAAAGGGACATAACTCTAAAAAGGTAAAAGTGATGCCACCCAAATTTCGGGACGAACAAACGTACGACCAAGGGTAAAACTTAATGCCCCCTCCGCTACGGCGGGGGCATAAAAATAAATAAAGAATGTGTCCATGGGACATGTCCGCTTGTAGATACATGTATATGGCAAATTATGCAATTTTTAATTTACAAAGGGTCATTACTCAAGAACAGAGAAAGTGATGCCACCCAAATTCTAACTTGATCTGTGTTTGGTGGTAATAAGCATTGTGTGAAAATTTCATAACATTTGGTAGAGCAAACTAAACTTAAGTGTGTGGAAATGGCAAATTTAGCAATTTTTTCATTTATAAAGGGACACAACTAGAGAACAGTGAAAGTGACGCCACCCTAATTCTAAGTTGATCTGTGTTTTGAGTATTAGTTTCATAACATTTGGTAGAAGCAAACTAAAGTTAGACTACAGAAACTAATTTCGGGATTTACATACAAAGGTAAAACTTAATGTCCCCTCTGCCACGACGTAGGCATAAAAATGATTAATAGTTTATCAGAGTCTATCCAATAAATTTATATTATTGCATTACTAGGTTTTTTTTAACCCCGTACTGGATGACTATGATAAAGATTTTGCCTTCCAAGTATTTTCAATAAAATCTGGGAAAGTGAAACAATGTTTATGTGGGTAAGTGATTTTATACCATCACTTTCCCTTGGAAAATTTGAATAAATGAAAAATCCTAGAGCACTGTGTAAAACTGACAACACTCTTATACAAATTTCAAGCAAGAGATAGGTGGTCTGAAGAAAAATGTACCACATACATGTATAATACGTGTATGTTTAGCAGAATTAATCTGTGTTCTTATTGATTTTCATAATTTTAATGGCTTAACTATATAAATTACATAATAAAAGGTTAGAAATATGCATTAAGCATGAGCAAAATAATCAATACAAGGGTGGTCAAAGGGTCGTAGTAAAGAAAATGTATAGTATTGATTGACAAGCCCCAACATTCCACTCATTACCCCTTATAAAGGACAATTTCACTATAGGTTTGAAGTGACAGATGCATAATAGATTTTAAAGATATGTTAGTTACTTAGTCATGTTAGTCATGTTAGTGCCCCTTGATTTCTGAATCCCCACAATACCAAATATGAAGTGTGCTCATAACTTGACTGGTTAAATTGTTAAATTCATTTTTTTAACTTATGACTTCTAAAATATTCCACTCATCATGCTTATTTTATATAATCATAAGATTCTGAGGAATTCATCACACTTAACCACAGGCTCATCAGCCTATTCTTGTAAAAATGCTGTCAGGCCTGTAAAAATCATCTCTACACTCTACAGGCCCACCAGCCCAGGCTTGTAAAAATGCTGCAGGCCTGTAAAAATCATCTCTACAGGCCAATAGAATCTAACTAATATTTTAGTAAAATTCAGTTTCGGGGTCTGTAGATTCAAAAGTTTAATGCAAAGACTGCTGAGGGCACAATAACTGCTGTTTAGAGTTCATATGAACTAAAATGTGTTATTTCCACAGACTAAAACATCAATTACAATTCTAACAAATGCAAATTCAGTCACTTTCGTCAATAAACATGATAAACAGTGAAAGAAAAAAACAAACAAAAAAGGGCAAAGTCCATGCATTTCTTTTATATAACATTTTAAGGCCATCCCTAGGCCTGTGTTTGTCAAATTTCTATAGTGCCTGAAAGTTTTAACTACAAGCCAATAGAATTTAGTCAAAATTTTCAAAAAAATGAGTACCAGGCCTGTGGCTGCAAAAGTTTTAAGCAACGACTGATAAATGATTTAATGAGTCAAAAGTTAAATAACCAGAAAGTATCTTCTTAACATGGACTTTAAGCTATATCCATGATTGAGTGCACAATGACAGTCAATATAAAAAATTCTTAAGGGTTCCGCGGAACCCAGTGTCTCGCCTACTTTTGCTGTTAATCGCAGGCTCAACAAAAATGAGGAAAAAAATAAATAAAAATATTCCTCTCTATACTATCTTTT